GACTCCTGGCTGGCCCACTCACAAACAACCGCCATAACTTATTGACGGTTTAACTGTGCGAATTGTGCTAGTGGTACACGACGCATACTCGGATATATTTTTCCGGTGTACGAGGAGTTCATGGCAAATTAAATTCGTCCCCAATTAGCGGAAAAAGCGATGAGGGTTTTTCTGAAGCATCATCTCAATTTGGTTTTGCCCAAATGGGAAAGCGAGGGAAATGTTCTTTGAAAACATTTATAAATAAAACGTATTAATTTAATAGTCGAGCATGTGTTTTCCCCTAATTTAAGCTCCCATTTATTTCTGATAATATATCCAAAACAATTTAGTTAATAAGTAAGTTCTGACTATGCTATTGTTAGTCCCCATTTCCTTTATTTGTACTGGTAATTGGGTAAAAACAGTATTAACCCTAATCATTTTAATTGGACCTCGCCTTAGTATAAACAAACAAACAACAGGAGTTATGGCTGTGCCACATCCTTTCGCTTTTGCAGATAGAAGGATCCTGCGAGCTAGAAGACTTCAATGGCATTCCGGGCACATCCGCCGGCCGATGCTCGGTCGAAATTGTATCGAAGCAATTGGTTCCCCCACCGTCCTCGTGGCTCTAACTTTATTTATGAGTCAATGACGTCGCCTGCAACTTCCTGTGACGTGACAATTCCCCCAAGCACTTGGCACAAAGAGTCCTTGCGAAAGCGAGAGGCGCCAAATGAAAACACGTGACGCCCGGGCAATTGGTGGGCAACAAAGCTCCAGCTTTTGAGTTATGGCCGAACGCAATGGCGTACACAAACAAAAGGAGGAGCAGCTCGGAATTCCCGGACTCCGGAAGGCAACCCACTGGCCACGTTTGCATTTCAATTGACTTTCCGTGAGCTTCGCTCTCTACGTCCACATCCACATCCACGTCCTTGTCTTCCTCGTCCTGCGTCCTCCGTCCTTCGCCACAGCTCTCTGCATTTTTCACGATAAAATCATAAATCAGCGCTGAATCAGGTAAATAAAAATAATGCTCAAACTCTGTATGCAAATTGAACCGAGAGTCGGAGCAGCGGAGACTTATTCGCCGAGATTTGACTGTGGAAAAATATGATAAAACTTGAGCCAGTCAAAAACTTTCCAACTCTGGCCAAAAACTTCACGTTGCTTATGCGAATGAGACGGGTGGGTGGTGGCCAGGATTCTGAATAATATTGTTGAAGACAACGCTAGATTTCTGTAAAAACTTTCGCCCGCTTCGGAAGGGTTGGGTCGGGGTAAATGGAAATGGCTCAGCAATCAGGCTATGTTAATTAGCCAGTGCACTAAAGGGCATATCAAATGATTCAGAACGAGGAGCAGCAAAGTCAAATGGTAAATGTCCCGTACAGGACACAGCAAAACTAGGGTGCAAAGAGTTTAAGGGGGAAAATGCAATGACCAATATAAAATCTGATTGAGAACAAGGAATCAAAGGGAGATCTTGATCGATAGATGCTAAAGTTACTGCACACAAACGCGGTAGTTCATTGATACTTGAACTTAGCATAACCTTTTCAAAGCAAAATACAATATTTTATCATAATTATTGCATTTCATTATTGTATTATTGTTATTATTTTGATAAAGTACTTTTCAAGGAAGTGGAACATGCGTATGAATGGCGTAAAAGCACCATGTTGACTGGTGTAATTTGCGGTCACTGCAACCACATCACACAAGCACATTCGCATGACGCAAGCTCGCATTGACCAGCGCTTTATTACTTCAAAAATGCGGCATTCGGCCGAGGCTCAAAGGGCTCGATCGAGTTCATGCCTGCGATGAGGCGAATCGCTGGCCAATTACACGGCTTTGAGGGCATCGTTTGGCATTGGCCCGCTCCTGGGGCTTCGACCCGTTAAGTATCCGCAAAGCATGCAATCTCTGCCAGTTGCTGGAATTCGGCATTGTGGCAGACAAAACAGCATCCAAATTGTTGTGGTTCCTGCTGCCCTGGCTGCCCTGGCTACCATGGCAACTAGGCCCGATGCAGGCGTCGTCTTAAAGTAGGCCCAGTTTATTAATTAACACAACCCGGCCAACTCAGATTTTGGCTTTGCATCCTGCACTTCGAATCCGTTCAGAGACGCCTGACCGCACTTGGTTCAATTCGATTCGGTTCGATTCGATTCGAGCCGGATGGCAGGATGGAACCCAGGATGCAGTGCACAATGGCATGCATATTGAAGTGCGATTGCCTGGCTTTGAGCCTGCACCTCCTGCATCAATTATGGGCATTTCAAAACTGTTTGCAACCATTTTCCAAATGTTCAGCTGGCTAAACAAAAGGCCTTGGCCCATGACCTGCTGGCTCCATGGAAACCGTTCTGCGCGGAGTCTATTAAGAGCTTTGTGCTTATCTCTACCGGACAGATCAAGGGTTAATAGGAATCGATTGGGAGCCACCTGGTGGCACGGGTTCTCACATTTTCCAGGCCGATGGTATCGAGTACTCACAAAAATATAGAAAGCAGAAAGACCTCTATTGAATCCAATTTGGTCCCTTAAAATTCAAAGGAATTGGGTTGAAAGAGGTTTTTCGAGATGGTATAGGTTTGTTTGCTTGATGTACACTTAAAAAATGAAAAAAAAAATAATATTTTTATAAACAATAAAACAATAAAATAGTTTCCCCATTTATTGTGTCACCGAATACATGACAATTTTTATAAGCCTTATATATAAAGATCTTTTGTCTTACCACTTAAATAAGGTTTCCCTTAAAGCACAAAATAAATAATCTCGACGATATCCTCAAGATATTTTCTTTCGAAGCAAATAGCTGGAAGCTTCCTTTTCGATGGGTTCTGGATGCGCAGTGCAAGATTGCAGCTACACACACACACACGCACATACCCATACACATTTGGCACTAATTATGGAGCATGGCTCCGGGCCCAGGACCTCCTTTTCATTTGACTCACCGCCTTTCTCAAAGGCACGCCCCGCATCATTTAAAAGTTATTAAGCACAAATGCAAACAGACGAAGGCACCGTTCGAGTTGTCTCGAAGCCATGGTTCTGTTTATCAAACTCGAGTGACGTAGATAAATATGCAGTGGTTGCACGGAAAGAGGGGCGGCGGGTGGTGGTCGGGTCCTGGCAGGATTCAAGCGGAAACGTAGCTACGCAAACAGAGACACTTATAGAAAAGGAACACAAACACACGCACACGCACACATATGCAGAGCGAAGTCAATAAATTCTCATTTCGCTGGATGCGTGGAATATTTCACCTGCAAACAAAGTGTGCTTCTCGCAACTCTGCGCTCCGCAGACGCAATAATAAATACAAATAAAAACATGACGCATAAAGATTACAGCCACCGCAAGCAAGAGCGTGTTGGCAAAAGGAGCCAACTCATCCAGGAGCTTCGATGGTGGAAGGCCCCCGCTGCCATCCACACACTCTCAATCCAATCTATATTAAGTATACGCACCGTTTGAACCATGCATTTTAATGATGTCTCCGTTGCCCCTGGCTCGTCACCTAATCTTTCGCCCGAACTCCTGGCCTTTCCCCCACTGTCTCCCCCCTTCCCCTCTTCCTTTCCCACCTTTCACCCACACAGCTCACCTGCTGTGACGACGTAAATGTTCATTTATTTTAATTAGTATTGAGCTGGGTTGTCCTCGCACTGGAGGATTCGATAGATCAAGGTAGCTGGATGTGACGGGGCAGAGGACGATATCGCCAAACATTTTATACACTGGCAGAAAGGGAGTCAGTTTGGGGACAATAAGATTATAGTTCTCAAAGCTTTAAATAATCCAGGTGGCATCCCTGTATTGTGGCTTGCACAGTTATCGATAACAGGCAGTAATCGTTATCAGCTAGTGTCATCCCCAATAAACAAGAGGCCACGTTTTTTGAAAATATTTTGTACGCAATAAGAATGGAGGATCAGGATAAAAATATTACCAAGTCATATGGCGGCTTTGACTCCATATTGAGCGCCGTTTCACTAATCAGAGTCGATCAGGCAAATAACGATTTAGACAGTCGATATTCCTGGGAAACAGTGTCTTTCCATAACAGTGGAGAAACTTATCCTTTATCAACGCCACAGAAGGAGAAAGGGGAAAATACAGCTTTTTCAACGCCTCAGAAGTCAGCAATAAGGGTAAAGACTGTACCAGACCTCAACGGCTTCGAAAATATGTCTTTAAATGAAGGGGTACAAAAAACTACACCACCTCAGGAGAGTTTTGAAGAGACTTCCAGGACAAATGAATTAGATTGCGATACATTTTTTAATTGGCCTTATCCGGGCGATTCTTCTCCACCGATTCAAAGTCCGATGATTTCTGAACCTACAGAAACCGCTGATAAAAATGGGTTCTACTGCGATCCATTTCACAATGGGTCTCATCAGGACATAGAAATGCCATCTTTTTCAGAGACTCCTAAAGTGGAAATGTTTTCTTTAGCATCGCCACCGCATCAAGAGGATATTGCAAAGGATTCATTAGTTTTTCTATCTTCATTGCGTCAGGATAAAATCTCAGAGATCCCGGGGATTTATAGGCCGGACACTAATGATTTTGAAAATGTGCCTAATCAGATAGAGATTCAGCAAGAAATTCTTATGAATCCCTTGGCTTCAGATTCTAGCACTAATTCTGAACAGGAAACATCCCAACAGGAAGATACTCAAAAGTCTACGGACATATCTGGGTCAGAGGCAAGTAATTATGGTAGTGAACCCAATCCCGGACTTATGCTCTCACCATCTTCTCAGGAGGATATTCCAGACATTTATCCATCGCTTGTTCAACCGCCTAGGGAGAAGGTTTTCGAAAGCCCATTAGAGGTTGACAATGGTTCCTACGAAAATCAATTTCAAACCAACAACGAAATGCTAATGACAAAGAAAAAATTAGATGATAAAATATTTTATATACTACGCGACAATGGATCCGTCCACAAGGGACACCTGCTTAAGTTTCGAAAATCAGAGAACACAGAAATGCCCAACGAATTCTACGTGCGTTACAACGATTTGGACAACAAAATGGATGCCTGGGTGGGCGAGGACCGCATTTCGGACACGCCGGAAGGTTTGGGTGGATACCAAGGTGGCAGGGAAGGCAACAAACTCACAGATGAGGAAAAGAAAAACAAGAAAAGTCAGCCGATCAGAAACATTGAAAAAGTGCAGTTCGGGCGATACGAGATCGACACTTGGTACCACAGTCCATATCCATACGAATACGGCGAGGTGCCAATTCTCTACGTTTGTGAGTTTTGCCTGAAGTACATGCGCTTGCGGGAGTCCTATGCCTATCACCTTCATGATTGCAAGCAAAGGCAACCGCCGGGCAGCCTAGTATACCGGAACGACAATATCTTCATTTTCGAGGTGGATGGCGACAAGGAGAAGCTGTACTGCCAGTGCCTCAGCCTGCTGTCCAAGCTCTTCCTGGAATACAAGAACCTGATCTACGACCCTTGTCCCTTTAAGTTTTATGTGATGTGCGTTAAGGATCAGGATGGCCACCACATGGTGGGCTACTTCGCCAAGGAAAAGGAATCGGAGATGAACTACAACTTAAACTGCCTCCTCGTTTGGCCGCCATTTCAGCGGAAGGGTTATGGAAAGCTGCTAATCGCCCTCAGCTACGAAATTTCCCGCAAGGAGGGCTTAATCGGCGGACCGGAAAAGCCGCTATCGGCTTTGGGCAGGCTTTCCTACCGCGGCTTTTGGGGCTACACACTCCTCGAGAAGCTTAAGAACCTGAGGACGAAGCAGGTGACCATTAAAAAGCTGAGTCAGTTAACTTACATCGCGGAGGAGGACATTGCCTACACTCTGGAGGCTGTGAAGCTGATGAACTACTTTAAAGGTGACCACATCATATGCACCAATCGACATATAATCGAAGCACGACTAAGCTTGCCGCAAATGAGGAAGCCAAAGTTGGTCATTAACCGCAAAGGTCTTTCCTGGAAGGTCTAACAAGTGGTCCTTAGTTACAGTAAAATATACACATAAATATAGATTCAAGAATAGCTTACTATTAATAAGAAATTTTAAGATTGATTCTCAGGAAATGTATTATTTTTTGTTATTTAATCCATCAAAAGATAATAAAAGATGCAGCTCCACAGAGTTTGTCCATTGATTTTTTTTCTGTGCACCTAAGACGGTCTATTAAAAAACACATTAGAGAGATAACAAATTTTCAAGGCCTGTGGGTGCAGGTAAAATCTTGGAATTAATGAAAAATCAATGACATCCCTTGGAATGGATTTCTAGAGCACATTACTATTGGCTGCCAACTTTGATTGCGCAACTTTGATGGCAGCAGCGCGGGATATGCACTTTAAGTGGAGTCAGTCGGTTGTTAAGCAATTTCAGAGCTGGTAAAGTTGACTTTTGCACTTGCACTACTTAGCCCGTGGCCCGCAAGGCAGCCCACTTTCTGTTCCAAGGGCCACTCACTTTGCCGTGTTGACGGTGCCGAGTAAATATTTCCATTTATGCCCCTATACAGTTATTGAGCCAGCGACCACGTACCCCGGTCCCTGGGCTGCGGGGCTACTTGACCCGGAGTCCTGGCAACTGCGAAAGTCCCTGGCACGTTGCTAATGTGCATAGCCATTAAGTCGGGGCTGCGTGTTTTGTTTACGCAACGCCGAGAGCTCCATAACTTGGCAGGGGGTTTTCAGAGAGGCAACACAATACTGTGGCATTGCCATTCGACTGTTGCATGTTGCAAGTGTGGCTGACAGGTAGGAAAAAGAGGCGGGGCCTTGCTGCAGAAAATTACATTAAATCGGCTGGCTGGTGGGTGTGTGAGGGAGTTGGTAGGTTGCCCTAACAACAACTAGTCAAGGTAACGCGGTAATAACCGGGAAATGGAATCAAAACAAGCAGCATAAACATTTTCAACGGCGCTGGCTGGATTCGAATTCGACAGCTTTAATCAAAGCAAACCCCTGCTATATTTTCGTCGGGGAAATGGAATATACTTTCACCAAACGCTGTTAACAAATTGTGTAGCTGGATAGTGTGGGCGAAAAGGAAACATTTCAAGGCGTTCCTATTTGGTTTTAGACGGGCTGGCAGTGCTGCCGCTTTGGCATCGGCCATCGCCGCAACTGTTGTCCTGGGATACACAAAAGGATTTGCAGACGCCCAGGACGCGGGAGTAAATACAACAGCGCCAGCACATCGCGGCGGAAGCGAAACCGAACTGCACAGCGGCAGTTGAAATTGATTGAAAGAACAACAAAAACGGAAAGGTGGGTTGGCTGAGCATCCAAGTGCGGAGCGCGGGATTCCTGCCTGTAACCAGAAATCCTGCGAAATCAAGGCAAACGTTTGATGTGCAGCCGCGCGAAGACGCCGACGTGGCAGCCAAACAACCGAAAGAGAGCAAGCAAAAGGACCCCGAAAACCACTCCTCCACCCTTGAAGCCCACTTGTTCATCTACCTTCAAGGACCTATTCAAATAAGCACAGACCGCCATGTCGCAGACCCAATTCGAAACCGGCTCGGATAGTGTCGATGCCCCGCCGGAATCCTTCAGCACCGACGAACCACGAGTCGTGTGGCTGAAGACGATTATTTCCAATTTGCTGGGAGTTTTCGAGCCCAAATACGTGAATGCCACGATCAACAAATGTATGCCCGCCGTGGACGCTTTCTTTCAGCGACGCTACGAAAGCCAGAAGGATCTGGAATACGTCGTCCTGTTCTTTTGGCGCACCTTTTACGACAAACTAATCGAGGAGGAGATAACCGTGCTGGAGGAGGTGCCACGTCCACCGCCGACAGTGCCCGACAAGAAGGGCAAGGGCAAAAAGAAGGGTGATGCTCGAATGGCGGGTGGAAAGTCCGCTGGCAAAGCCGGAGCAGCTGCAGGAGCAGCCGGAAAAGGACGCAAGAAGGCAGGACAGGAGCCAGCGGCTCCGCCTCCGGCGGAGATCAGGAACACATCGAGGAGGCCAACACAGGCGGAGAAACCACAGATGCTGAGGTAGAAGGCGAAATGGAGGGCGAGGAGGAGGCCACCGTCGCCGGCAGTGGCAAGAGCTCCGCCAGATCCAGACGTGAGTATATTAAAGTTTTGGATAGATTCAACAAGATACATTTACACAAAAACTTATTTAACCAGTTATTTAGAAACATATGTATTGTAAAAATGTTTGCTAATCAAAGCTCTTAAGCCATTTAAATTTGAAGAGGGACTTTACTTCCACTGTTTTAAAATGTATGGTAGTTCGTAAATATTATTGTACCGGGAAACTTTCCGCATTACTTTGCTTTTTATCAACCACTTAATATACATTTATACCCCCTCTAATATTTTCAGCCAGCTCTGATACGGAAAACGGTAAATATGATGCATTGCGCGAGTTTCCTTTGTTTCTGTCCAACGATTTTAATTTCAAAAGTTTCAGTTTTTCGGCTTTTCCTCTTTCATTTCACCCAGCCTTCTCCATTTTGCGATGCATAAATTTTTAGCCCGTCCAACTTGATATCAAACGAAAATCTTGGTCCACACTTTGATTCGCGCTGCCCACTTCACATCATAAATATTTAAGGGCCTCATTTTCGTTTTCCCGGCTGAAATTCATTTCTTTTGTAACTTTTAATTTGAATCACCCACCCCAAACAGCCGCCCGTCCAACTCATTTGATTTTCCATTGCCTGGTGCAAAGATAAGAGCAAAGTTTCGCGGCTCATTCATTGCATTTAAATGGAAGCGCGCAACTTGCCACAATGCAAATTCCAACCCATCAATCTCAATCACAATCGTAATCGCGGAGCGGCATTCGCTTACTCCGATTTGACACGCCCATTTTCGCACCCTCCGCTAATGCACTCCCCCCATTTCCTAGGCTCCAAAAAGAAGAAGAAGCCGAGCTATGTCCCAGTTTACGTGGAAGTGAAGGTGAGTACTGTGTGAACAAAGCTAATTGAAAGGCACAAAGGATGTGCAAGAGGTCCCTGATTTAAATAGAAGGTGATGTAATAAAGTTGGTAAATTTTTAAAAAATTACAGAAACTAGTTCCTGCGTACGTGCAGACGCCACAAATTCATTGCCACTTCGGACAGATGGAGTCCGAGGATCTCGACCCGAAAATAAAATACACCTACATAGTGCGGAAGAACAGGAGGGAGATACGTGAGTACTTCTTATAAAATACTCTATATTTAACATAAGATTTGGATAGGTATAAGTAAATCAAATTTCTGTCAACAAAGCAAATAAATTTAAAATCCGCTTTTAATGAGTTTTTTCATATCCCATTATTTTTGCCATCCCTTTAATTTCCCAACTTAATGTCTTTTCAGCCTGGTTCAATGAGATACCGACTTGCTTCGCACAAATGCCGCTGTACTTTCTGATTGGAACCGTTCGGGGCTCACTCATCAACTCACTGCGCGATGACTTAAACTTGGTGAGGCTCCTTAGTTAGAACCCCTTCGCACTCCCCCGTAATCGGACATTAAAAGACGCATCGACAGAACCAAAATCACTCAAATTTGCACCCGATTCGCTCATTTCACACACCATAAAACGTTGTTCGATCAATCAAGGACTTTAAGGCCGGTTCGCCATTGTTTCAAGCTATCGCTCCTTTGTCCGCTGCGTGTCCTTTCGTCCTGAAGTCCGCTCTCCGACCGCAAAGCAAAATGTTGTGACGAATTGTAATTAATTCCCGAAACAAGGCAGTCATCTATCAAAATGCCCGCTGTGCCGCAAGATTTTTCCGCTTGACTGCATCGCTCGGTGGAGCTGTGAGAGGATTTCGGGTAGAGGGTGGTGGGTAGTGGGTGGCTTATGGTGCTTTGGGCGGCCGGTGGTGCGTAGGGCCATCACGCCCACTGAACCGAGCCTTAAGCGGTGACCGCCAACGCAAATTGCTTCATCATAGCTTCAAAACGGGCTGCGGTTTCCATTAGGCTGCCGCCCAAGACTTTGGCCTTGCGATTCTGCGGTCCGCAAAGTGGGTGGTTGCCTTAATATTAGCTTTGCATAGAAATAAATTGGAAAATAAGTTTTCGGCGAATCGGCCAATGGGGCGAATCAATTAGAAAGTCTACACAGACCGCAGGCCGGCAATATCCTGGCACTCCATCTTTTAGACCATTGTACATGTGCATTTGTTTTCCCACTCCTCACGCTCTTTTTTCCCTATTTTTTTTTAACCCACACCAGGTTTACAAGAGCGCCATTCAATTTCAATTTCGCGAACCGGCCACAGCGGACAGCCAGCAAATGGACAGTTATGAGGGGCAGGCCGCAGGATCCGGAGGAGGAGCGGGCGATGCCGGCGAGGATATATCCAGCGAGGCCAAGGAATCGGGACCGGGTCTATTGGAGCTATCCAAACCATCGGAATTTCGTTTGAGAGCGCTTAAACAACAAAAGTATTTAACTTTTAACAAAGGCAGAGAGCGGCATTCGTTGCTCCGCTGGCTTCTGGGCAAAAATCGGGGCCGGGTTTATTGGTTTCCAGCTGCTGGAGTGGAGGAGTGACTGGAACTGGCTATGGCTCTGGCTACGATTGTGAATGTTGGCTTTCTTTCGCCCCTTTCTCTGCTCCTTTTTTCCTGTTCAGATTTTTTTGGTGCAAATTTTTTGTTTGCCTTTGTTTTGCGCTTATCGCTGGTTACCATCGGTTGCCACAGTTGCCTTTTCCCCCTTCCCCGCGGCTGCAGGGAACCAGAACCCTTTTCGCACATAAATTACAGCGCATCCGATAAGAAATTTTTATTTTTAATCGGATTTCATGCTACCATCAACGGCGCCGTTCTCCGTTGTCGTCGGTGTGCTGGCCCTCGTTGTTGTTTTCTGGCCAGTTTTCCATTTGTTTGGCAGGCAGCATTTATGGCACATCCTGGCGCGCCTCATTCATCCTTGCATTGGCCTTTCATTGCCGCCTCGCGAATGCCACTTGACCGCCACAGTTAAAATTTTCCCCTTTCATTGCCGGCATCTTTTTTTTGTTTTGCCTTTTCTGCCGTGCAGATTAAAAAATGCCAACGCAGGAGGAGTTGGGTTCATGTCCATGTCCAGCGGAGTATCCTTTGTTACGCTTTGTATTTGTTGCTCATTTTGCTTATCGGGAGCCTTTCATTACGCTTTGTGTTAATTTTGCATGCTACTGGCTACTGGCCACTGGCCGCCGTTAATTGTGTTTGTTTGTTTATTTGCCACTCTCTCCGATCCTTTTCGGCAGGAAGAAGAAGCACGCCGAGGCGGCTGCCAAAAAGGCGAAGGCCCAGAAACCGGAGGGAGAACCCACAGAGGAAGACGAGGAAGGCGACGCCCACAAAATCGACGCCGCCCATTTATCGTCGTCCGAAGAAGAGGGTAATTAGATATTAAAAAAAAAAAAACTAAAAACATTGCATTCATTCATTCAATCATTCATTCATTCATCAGATATCGTGAAGTAAGGATCCTACAAATTATCCTTTTAATTAGAGTCCTTAGATTTCAATAGAGTTATAATATTTCAAAAAATTTATACTTTTAGTTACTTACCGCACTTTTCTTTGCAGTGGAAGTGAAGGTCGAAAAGCTGACGATTGCCCAGCGTTGGGAGAAAATGCTCACTGAGACGAAGGCCAAAGTGGAGGCCGAACACGCCGCCGAGGAGGTCACGCCCCCAAAAATCACGCCCATCCAGAGACGGATACTAAAAGAAATCGAGGAGTTCCAGAGCGAAATCACCTGGACCATCAACCACATTGTCTGGGCCTTCAGCTTGCCCTCGTCCTACATACTTCCTGGTCAGGAGGAGACCGAGTTCGAGGACGCCATCATCCGAGTGCCAGTCGATCCCAAGCGATTGGATCTGGTGATCACCTACACTCAGCAGCAACTTGAGGAGATCGTCGACGGTTGGATCAAATACCTCAAGAAGACAATGAAATCTTTGACTGATGCCAAGCTGGATGATTTCACTCCGATGGCCGAGCATCGATATTGGCACAAAATGGAGGTGGAACTCTACGGCACTTTGGAGCAGTTGAAAACTGAATTCGTGGTGGCTGTACTTCAAAGACTTACTGATGACAATTCCCCGGTTCTGGCCGAGTGGCAAAACGTTTTGGAGAAAACAGAAGCTCGCTTTAAGTTGGCCAAGGAGAACTCCGATTACTTAGGTACCATCATAGACTATCTGGAGGTGAGTGTATTCGATTTTTGTGGTGCTGTAATGAGTATTAGTTTTTGATAAGTCAAAGGAAAGTTTGCTTTAGTTACTTACCCTAACAATTTCTTAACGGTTTCCGGTTACAAAAACAGTTTTAATTAATCGGAAACAGGGTTGATATGTACTTATAGGCAAAGCAAACACAAATTTGAAAAGAGTGGCAACTCTTAAGTTTTTGACACCATAAATTTTGGTTCCCTTTGGAACCCAAACCTTACAGTCATTATTTTGAGAGGCATTTTTAATAATTAATATTTCATGCAAGAAATATGCACAAAAAAGACTAATAATTTTTCGTTTCTTTATGTACCCACCAGAAAGTGCGCAGCTATGAGAGCTTCAAGATGGTGGTGCTCCAGATCCCCAACATCATGGTTGGGCTGCGCCACATCTGGACCATGTCCAGCCACTTTTGCCGGGATCCCGAGATGCAGGTCTTGCTCTGCCAGATCTCCAATGTGTTCGTTCAGAAGGTGAAGAGCATCATCAACTTCGAGAACATATTCAAGTAAGTCGCTTTCCACAGAGCTACGAGTTAGTTTTTTTTAAATTTAATTAGAGGTGGGCGCGTGAGTGGGCTGCTTATGCATGACAAATGTAACGAAAAAAATGTATCGTTAAAAACCCATAAAATTTTGAATTACAACATTTTCGACCTACAACTGATTCCGATATATCCACAACCGACTTTAAAAAATTTATTTTAATTTGAACCGCCTATAAGCCACAAATTTGGGGAATCAAATAGGGGAACTGTTCTTAAATTTGAATACTAATTTTATTCCCCGTTGACAGGTACTCGGCAACCTACACCTACGAGACGGCCACCAACTGTGCCAATTTACTGCGCTGCTGGAAGCAGGCCTACAAGCTCAGTCGCCAGCACATCGAGGATTCGGGGGCAGGATCCCGTTGGGAATTCGACAGCGTGGCGCTCTTCAACGAGGTCAATCACATCCATCGCGTGGCCGTGGACATTGCCTATGTGGGTCGGGTGTTCGTCCAGTATGAGAATCTTTTTGGACATCGGCTAAAGGCCTGCATTGCGGATCCTTCAATTGTGGACAATTTGATGCGTAAGGTCTACCGTATGCTCGATGATTTGATCAAGAGCGTGGACTACGACATGTTCAGGCCAGGAAACTGGGAGAACTGGGAGTACTCTCTGGAGATGTTCAACAAGCGGCTGGACAACGTTGAGAACGAGGCCAAGAATGTGATCGACCAGAGCATCAATTCGCTGCTGTCTTCTGAAAAAGGCCTCGATCTGATCATCAATGCCATGAACATCGATACGAGACAAGGACTCCAAGAGTTTGTGTCCACCAAACACGAGAACCTACTGCGATTCTTTGTTACTGAGATTAATGCTGTAGAGCGGGTGTTTACGGTAGGTTAAGGTGGATAGCTTTCTGAAAAATCTGATTTCTATAACCTTTCTTTACCCAGAAATTGAAAAAGTCACCGCCCATGGCAAAACATCAGCCGGCCAAAATAAGCGCCATTTTCTGGGCCCGCCTGCTTGGCAAAAAGCTCAAGACCTCTGTGCTGGCATTCAAAAGGGTGGAAGATGAGCCCGCTATTAAAAATAGCTTCCTTAAGCGCAGTTCCTTTAAGCAGTACTTCGAGTTGATGACGGTAATGTTCCAGTTTGAGAAGGTGCTCTTCGAGAACTTTATCCAGACCGCCACGTACCTCGTGAACACGACGAACCGATCGAATGTGCTAAGTATTCGAATATGCAAGGAAGCTACTAGTAAGGATTACCACGAAAATACATTTGAGAACCTTATCAAGTAATTTGTTTTTCCCATAGTGGCCTATATCTCTGAAGCCGTTCAAACCCTGAAGGCAAAACCCCGGGAAATTCAGACTAGCGGCGGTTCCAAGCGTGTAACTCCCGTGAAATCGAATCTTGCGCAGCTTCAGTCAAAAGCCTCCAGTGCCTTTAGTTTAGCCGAATCGGTGATAACAGAACTCAGTTCTTCGTCCGAGGATGAGGCCTTGGCGGTGGGCGACACATCTCAAAAGAAGCTAATGTGCCGCATCAACCGACTGACCGTTTTAGTGGCCATGATCATGTGGATGCTCAGCAGTACGCGAAAGGCCAACATACAACTGCAGGAGTGTATATCCTTTATCAAAATGGTCAAGGAAAAGAAACCCAAAGATGTCACGCTTATGGATAAGCACTGTGTGAGGACCTGCGAATGTGAGTTATGGGGGCATATAATAATTTTTAAGTTTAATCAATTGACTTTTATTTAAGTGCTACAACGTGCCGAGTCACAGTATCTGTTGCCCATTTGGCGCGAATTGGTGGAGGACAAGACCCTGATCGAGTATGACATGGACTTTGTCGTCAATCTAAAGCGCGATGTATTCGATGTTCTGTTCGAGGCCCAGCAATTTGAGCACCTGGGCTTCACACTTCCCACTGTGCTGCGTACGGCGATCATGAAGAAGGATCTGCTCTTCAAGGACTTCGAAAGGATGAGCGAAGTGATCGAGAAGTACAGGGCGATTATCAGCAACCTCTCGATGTCCGAGGTGATCTTCCTCCGGGGCCACATTTATGACACGGAGCTCTTCATCCAAATGGGAGTGGGGCGCTACACTTGGACCTCCTTTAACATAGGCAAATTCTGCGATCAAATCAATTCGCAGCTCCGTAAGCTCACTTCTATAGTCTCGCAAATCAACTTTATTCGCCTGGATCTGCGATCTCGCATTGATATGATAAAGAGCTACAATTTGTTTAACCTTGATGAAGAACTCAAGGGTGAGAGAAAATCGATTACCTCGGAACTATCCGAGAGCATGCAGGAGCAAAAGAATACGTCGAGAGGGTTCAAATCCACGACTGGCGGAACTGTGACTATGTTCACTGTCGAAAAGGCGGTGCCCGCAGAGGAAATGGCAGAGCAAATCTGTGGGTCGGGCATTTATCCCTGTCAGGGATATTTCGAACTGCTGGAGGCCTCGCGCAATCGGAAGGCGGCGCAGATGAAAAAACTTTACGATTCCCTGGGTCCAGTGTTGGTCAAGTTGGAGAGCTTGGTACTCGGAACATTTTCGGGCAGATCGGACCGAATGAAAACCTACTATGAATTCTGGGAAGAAGAGACATACAAGTGCATTGTTGAGTAAGAATTGGTTAGGGGTTTTCTATACTTGTTGTTCTATTAACCTGTTTCTTTTAAGCATGACATATCAGAATCTCAAGTGCTTTATAAACCGACTACTCTCCGATAAACCCATGTTTGAGGTCAACGCTGTGCTTCTAATGTCCGAGATCGTTTTAGAACCTTCAGTTCAGGAGCTGCAGAACACCATAGTAACTGCCACTAAAGACTACATCTCGAGGATGAAAATGTTTACACGCTGGATGACCGGAACGTGCATCGCCTGTCCTCTTGTGGAAATGGGCAAAGCGTTCAAGTACAACTACACCTACTATGAGGACGTTATCCAGATAAAAGCCATTGTGGATTTGGTCATAAACATACACGATTTGGCTGTTAAAGTAGCCAACGAAGCTAGGTGTTTTGTGTCTCAGTAAGATCGCAATAAGAAGCAGAAGAAAGCAGTCAAATTAATGCACCCTGTTCCTCAGATTTCGCAAGTACTTCAATCTGTGGGCCTTCGAGAAAGGCTACATCTGCCAAAAGTTCCTGGAGAAGCAGGTGACGCTCATCGAAATCGATGAGAAATTTACATTTTACTCGTCCATTGTGGAAACGCTGGCCAACACCCGCAAGTACCAGGACATCAAGTGTGTGCGCATAAATTTGCAGCCTCTGCTGGAGAGCATAACGCAGCATGCCCAGGATTGGTGCACCACACTTGGCGAGGAGCTGTTGCGCCATGTGAACGACAACATGAGGGCCATGCGTAACGAAATCAAAGTGAGTCTGGCTTCTGTAAGATTTCACAACCTCCCTGCTAATCCTTGCAAATATGCGGCAGACCCTCAGCCTGAACCTCAACAAGACCACACGCGAGCTGGAGGACTTCAAGCTGGTCATGACCACCATTGCCACGGTGCAGTCGACGACATTGTCCAACGAGCAGAAAATCCACGAAATGCAAGAGACCTTCACCATTCTCAGCGAGCACAAAATCATGGTGAGAAACGTCTACTATTTTTCGATTTTTATCTCGAAGATCGGGCTGATTTGATTCAATTTCGCCGTGCATTTTCGCAACCCAATCCAATCCCTCTAATAGCTGCACATCCCTTCCGTTTAATGAAAGTTGCTTAAGTCTGCCAACCATGGCGCTTATTTGTGTATTCAAATGAGCAGTTTTACAAAAATCCCATCGAAATCCCAGCCGAGCTGGACTGAGACCACTGTCACTGTTTCTATTTCTGTTTACATATGCATATTCGGCGGTCGGTCTGGTTGGGCCAGAGCCATTTGGAAATGGCTTTCCGCTTTTTGGCGCAACCACCGCACAAATGGTTACGTAAATGCAGCTGCAGCAGCAGCAGCAGCACCAGCAACAGGACTATCCGGACCAAAGTCCATAGTCCAGATTAGGACCACTGCTGCGTATCCCCGAATCTCCGTCTGTGTCTGTGTGCTGGCCATTTTGGGATCCGTTCGCTTCGTTTCGGTTCGGTCCGTTCATTTATTGATGGCATTCCGTTGCGGCGGCGACGTCGCTTAGCTTTGGCCAGACAAAACGGAATTAACTTGCATTTTATATAAATTAATGAACGAATGAATGCATACAGCCAGTGCCAGGCACTGTGTAATATATGTACAGACGGGGAGAAACAAATAGTTGTTTTCTTTTTTAATGATAATTTATATCTTTATCGCCAATGTTTTCATTTAGAAAATTCCATATGATATAATGTTTCTTATAACACTTAACATATATATTGAACAGTAATTACTTTAAAAAAGGAGTGAAAGTAACATTACTTCTATAGATCAGTGTTTCAATTTCTATAAATTGATTTTGCTATTTTTGTGACCTCACCTGTATATATTGGCATTGCAATTGCTCGAAAGGGCAAATGAAAATTTATGCGGTGGCGGCCCTGAAAGCTATGCTATACTTTTTTCCTCTGCCTTTGTTGGCTGTGCATTCTGGACTGTTGGTTGTGGGTTAAAAGAGCGGGGGTTTGAACACCATGCTGGTCGTTAGTGAATTTCGGCACTTTCATGATTATTATTTGCACTCAGCTATAATTGAAGGGCACTGCTTAATTTTTATGTGCGTTGTGTTTATATTTCGAGTCGCAATTTAATTCGCATCCGCCTTTGCAGTTCCCCTACGAGGACATGCTGATGGCCCACCACCTGGAGAAGCGCTGGAAGAGGTTGTTCCTGTCGGCCTTGTATCGCTACGAGAAGCTGCAACCAATTAAGCAGAAATTCGCCGACATGACTTCCGTCGAAATCGATGAGTTCTGCGATGATGTAAGTTGTCGAAGGAAAAGGAAGTCCCCTTGGGCCGGGGAGGTCCTTCCTCTGGGGCGCGGCAATGGGATTAGGGCTGGGGGCTGCGCTGCCGACTTTGCATTTCCGCTATTTTGCGTTCTTTCTCTGCAGTTCTGTTTTGTTTCCTCCCATTATTATTTCCTTTCAATGGCATTTTAATTGGATTTTTCCGCGCGCTCAACCATTATTGTCAATTGTTGGCGGCGAGGGCTCTGCTGTCGTCAGCGTAAAATGAATTAACTTGAAGTGTTTATCATTTGAATTAGAGCGCAAGTCGGATGTGGTGTGGGGTCAGGAAAAAAGAGTCCCTTGCTGCTTCTGCATGCTGCACTAACCACGTTCACTTTTCCTGTCAGCTGGGCGAGTTTATCAAGGACTACGATGAGAACGGGCCAGGATCCGTGGGTGCCGAACTGGAGCGAGGTGTGCGTCTGATGGATCCCTATGGGCAGAAAATCGCCGAGCGAGAAGCTCGACGGGAAGAATTGGCCAACGCAGAGAGGCTATTTGATATGGCCATGGTGGACTACCACGAGTTTGCCCGGGTGCAAACGGAGTTCGAGGGTTTGCAGCAGGTTGGTTCTCAAAAACGTTCTTTACTCTCAAGATAATTTCCATTATTGTCCACTTGCAGCTGTACAAACTCTACAAGGCGCAGAAATTCGCTCGCGAGGGCTGGGGCAAGACCTTGTGGGCCGATCTGGATCCCAATGTGCTGACCGAGGGCGTTGAGAGCTATCTGAAGGAGTTCCGGAAATTGACCAAGCCGGTAAGCTTCTCCGGGGAGCGGCAAACTTTGCCAATTAAACAAAGTTTTTCGGCCTGCTTGGATTTTCATAAAATTACACAGACGCCTCGGAACAACAAAAGCAAAATACTTCTGAACTGTGAACTCGATGTGGATGGAAGGGCGTCTTATGATGCCACTTTAAAAGCGAAAGCATGTCGGGCTATTCGAATCCAGAAAAGAATATCCCACATTATTAGAAAAGTCTGGGGTTCCAGTTCGCTGACTTTCTAAAGAGAACGAAGGCGGGGAACAATTCAACTGATTGCCCTTTGCCTGCTGGGTATTTCTGATTTCCATACCTGAGCGTTTTATGGTTCTCCTCGAGCCTTAGTTAAGCAAGAAATGAGAATTTTCTGGCCACGCCTCGCAGCGACACAATTTTGCACCTAAACTGATTATGACAAATTGATTTATTTACTTCACTAACAAGTTTTTGAGGAATTTCGCTGGCCGGGCCAAAACTTTGTTGCAGCCAAAACTTTTCGCCATCGCCCATACAAATGAAGTGGGCGTTTTCTCCCTGAAGGGGCGTGGGAAAAGGGGGAGTAGTGAGAGGTTTGTAGTAACCCACCACCATAACTCCGGCGTAGATTAGTATGGAAAATATTTGAAATCGCGGCGATTAATATAAATAGCGTAGAGGCGCAAACAAATTTGAATATAATCATACGACACGCACATATTTTAATGCAGTTTTATCGCGCATAATTTCAAATGCCAGACCCTAAAGCACAAACTACCGAGAGGCTCTACATAATCAGCGTGCTAAAATGTAAATCAATTTGTTCAATATTGAAAATAATTAAAATGCCAGCGGGCTGTCCATGTCGTCGCTCCTTTCCCCGCCGCATACTTTGTCCCTCGTCCTGGCCACCGACTTGTTGACAGTGTTGCTGCCTCTGATGCTGCTGCTGCTGCTGCTGTTGTTGCTATTTCAATTTATGTCCCTGAATGGTCTGCAGTGCCATGCATTTTGCATGTGCAAACAAACGGCGTGCAAACAGAATGCGCTTTTTGGGTAAAAGCAACGATGGTGGCAGCGCAGCTAAAGCACAACCGAGACCCGAAAACCACTCGCCACAGGACGCGCGTTCGTCATAATTCAATGGGGGCGACCACAGGCGACAACCGCACTATTGTTTCAGCTGATTTTCGCCAGCTAACTAACTAACCGACCAACCGCCCCACCTCTCCCAATGGGAATTTCTCGCTGCAGGTGCGCACGCTGCCAGTTGGCGTGCAGCTGGAGATCCACATGAAGCAGTTCAAGGGCACCGTGCCCCTGATGGTCAGCCTCAAGCACGAGGCCCTGCGCGAGCGCCACTGGCTGCAGTTGATGGAGAAGACCGGCCAGTACTTCGACATGTCGCCGGCCCGCTTCACGTTGGAGAACATGTTCGCGATGCAGCTGCACAAGTATCAAGACATCGCCGAGCAGATCCTGACCAACGCCATCAAGGAGCTGCAAATCGAGCGGGGTGTCCAGGCCGTCATCGAGACCTGGGCCACGATGGCCTTCAAGACCTTCAAGCACTACAAGGGCATGGAGGACCGCGGCTGGGTTCTGGGGCCAGTGGACGAGATCATGCAGGTGCTCGAGGACAACGCCATGAACCTGCAGTCCATGGGAGCGAGTCAGTGAGTAAATTGCTTCCAGCAGCCCTTTAATGTTAATAAGCATGTGCAAGATAAACAAGTTTGTTTAGATTGAAGAGTCTTCTCGAGTAGTAACCCCATCTAATCCACAGATTTATTGGGCCTTTTCTGGAGACGGTGAACAAGTGGGAGCGGACCTTGGCCCTCATCTCGGAGATCATCGACGAATGGCTGGTGGTGCAGCGCAAGTGGCTCTATCTGGAGGGCATCTTCATTGGCGGCGACATTCGCACCCAGCTGCCGGAGGAGGCGCGGAAATTCGATGACATTGACAAGTCGTACCGCAGGGTGAGTAATCCGGGCTATTTGCCTGTTCTGGTTGTTTGCCTCGGTTATTGGGTTGTTTGGCCACCGAAAGGCTGTGCCGGAAAGCACACTTAGTATCTGCTACAATTTATTTGAGTTGATTTAATGTGTGCCGACAATATGGCGACTCCTTACTTAACGGTAAACATAATACGCATGCAAACGACTGCCTTTGTGTATGCGTAATTGTGTAGTCGAACCCACACACACACACACACACTCACACACACACTCCAGAACTCGGAAATATCCCAGAAGTAGGAGCAGGAGCAGGAGCACATCACATCACACATACGCAACGTAAGCCCGAGCTGTGTTTACAAATGCCAAGCACTTTCACCTTCCACTACTGACTGCTGCCTGCTGCCTCCTGCATGTACGACTGTATGGGAATACGGGCTTTCCGGGTTCCGGGGTGACCTTCGTGTGTGGATAGATTTGTGTTTGTGTTTGGCGCTTAACTTCACTTAACCTTGCCAGCCACTGGCTTCCTTCGTTTGCTTTACGTTTCATTTGTAACATTTGCCGCCATATTTGATGCCATTTGTGAAATGATTTATTATTTTGATTTGCTCTCGACACTCGTGTTGAGTTCCATACACTCCGATGAAGAGTGCCTCTTATTAGGCTTGACCGACTTCCAGATCCTTAAAATGTATTGTGCCACTTAGGGCTTCAACTTGCTTCACCAACTAAGAGTGTAATTAAACGTTGAGTGGGTTCGACTAACTTTCCAGTTAAGTGCAGGCTGTAAAGTTCCCTTTCAATAAGTATAATATTATTAAACATGTTGTTACCAGTCAAATAAACAAGGGAAATCTAATGGCAAATCACTTTTATAACAAAAGAACTAATTTGTAGAATATAATACAATATTATCCGATAGAGCACTCAAAGTGCCGCATCTCGGGGATTGTTTCCTTTCCTACTTGCCCCTAATATGTTTGATTGTGTTTCGGGTTGGTCGTTGCGCTCATTGCCTTTCATAATAATTTACTGCCCCGACTGGCGATGCCGCTTCCTGCTACATCTTCCTCTTCCATTGCAGATCATGGTCGATTGTGCCAAAAATCCGTTAGTGGTGCCATTCTGCACACTGCCGGGTCGCTTAGTGGAAATACAGGGCCTGGGCATTGGCTTGGAAAATTGTCAGAAGTCGTTAAACGAATATTTGGACTCGAAGCGTCGCATTTTCCCGCGTTTCTATTTCATATCCACCGATGAGCTGCTCTCGATCCTGGGCAGCAGTGAGCCATCTGCAGTGCAGAACCACATCATTAAGGTGGGTAAATCGGGCGGGGTTACGCCCCCAAGTTTCTGGGCGGTCTCCATCTTCGAGCTGCTCTCGTGGTGGTTATGTTGGTGGTGGTGGTGACAACAACAGATTTGCCAAACTGCCAGCGACATTATTTTTATGTACAACCCGGCGAGTGTGTATACTCGTACACACACACACACACACACACACACATGTATGCGGAGAGTCTTGCCATAAAAGTTAATGTCACTGTTTATTCGTTCTGGCCAATGTCCATGGCGGAAATTACGCCAATTTCTGCAACACATGCATGGCTCTCCACCACTCGCCTGGGCCGTGGTAAATTTTTATGAATTTATTTGGCTTATAAATAATATTTTATTCCTCTTTTCCATCCGTTTGCATTGATTTTGCAATTTTCAGATGTACGACAACATCAAGTCGCTGCGCCTGGTGAAGGAGGGCAGCCAGACGATTGTTACCGCCATGATTTCCAGCGAGGGCGAGGTCATGGAGTTTCGGCACTCCGGTAGGTACTTACTATCCTGAACTCGAACTCGATTCGATTCGGAAGCGGCGCACCGGATTCGGGGTTCTGGGTTCTCGATGCTGGACAATCCAGCATGCTCGGCAGTCAGAGGCCTCCACGCACTGATTGCCAATTTTAAAATTGAACTTTTTTTATGGCCATATTGTCTGCTGACTGCCGGCGCTGGCTGACCAATTTCTTTTAATTAATTTGAAGCCAGTCGCAGTTGGAGATGATTGCGTCTTCTGCTCTTATTGCCATTGTTGTTTTATTGTTGTTGCATAACACTTATTGATATTGGCAACTGGGGTTTATTTATGCGGTTATTGTCTTTTCTCTCTCTCTTCTTATTTTTACCGGAAATCAGCTCGAGCAGCGGGACGCGTGGAGTTCTGGATGAACGATGTGCTGGACGAAATGCGGCGCTCCAATCGCTTCATAAACAAGACGGCCATCTACGATTTTGGCACGGATCTGCAAATTTCAAGGTAAGTGACACCGTCAGCTGGGCATAAAACATATTTTATGCCTTCCCTTCCGCTTCCCTCCGTTTCCCTCCGTTTCGTTCTGTTCGCATCCTTCTGGGGGTCCGTTTCGCATCCTTGGAAACAGCGAGTGACACTTCGGCAGCCAATTCCTTTTATGGCCGGCGATTTACATTGCGGCTGGGGAACTCTCGACCCCGACCTCCACTTCCTCCCATTCCAGCGCGCACTGTATAATTTTGTCATTTCGCGCGATTTATTATTTTGTTTAAGCCGTGGGGCGCATGGCCGGGCATATTTATGGCCAATTGTATTAAATTGACAGTCATTGGGCACTTTCGATTTCGACTTTCAGGCCCGACTGGCTAATGAACTACCAGGGAATGATTGGACTGGCGGCGAGTCAGGTCTGGTGGACCGCCGAGGTGGAGGAGGCCTTCGACCAGGCCCAAAACCACGGCAACATGAGGGCCATGAAGGACTTCCTGGGCAAGAACAACTACCAGATCGAGGAGCTGGTCTTAAAAGTGCGTTCCAATCTTTCGCGCAACGATCGATTGAAATTCAAGGCCCAGTGCACGGTGGATGTCCACGCGAGGGACATCATCGACAACTTTGTGCGGGACAATGTCCTGGACGCCAGCGAGTTCAGTTGGGAGAGCCAGCTGCGCTTCTACTGGATCAAGTTCTACGACAATCTGCATGTGCTCCAGTGCTCTGGCAGCTTTGACTTCGGCTACGAGTACATGGGTCTCAACGGCCGCCTGGTCATCACCCCGCTCACGGATCGCATCTACCTGACCATCACCCAGGCGCTGCTCATGAATCTGGGCGGAGCTCCGGCAGGACCAGCCGGAACGGGCAAAACGGAGACCGTCAAGGATCTGGCCAAGGCCATGGGGCTGCTCTGCGTGGTGACCAACTGCGGCGAGGGCATGGACTACCGGGCAGTGGGCACCATTCTCTCCGGCTTGGTCCAGTGCGGCGCCTGGGGATGCTTTGATGAGTTCAACAGAATAGACATCTCCGTGCTCAGTGTGATTTCCACCCAGCTGCAGACCATCAGGAATGGCTTGATTAGGAAACTGGAACGGTTTGTGGTAAGTACAAATGAGATTATTTCTCATCAGCTCTAGTTAATAACTTTATTTTGTAGTTTGAAGGCGTTGAGATCAAGCTGGATCCCAAGTGCGGCGTGTTTGTGACCATGAATCCTGGCTACGCTGGTCGCACGGAGTTACCCGAGTCCGTGAAGGCTCTCTTCCGTCCAGTGACCTGTATCAAACCAGATCTCGAGTTGATCTGCTTAATCTCCCTCTTCTCCGATGGCTTCCTAACCGCCAAAGTGCTGGCCAAGAAGATGACCGTTCTCTACTCCCTGGCACAAGCTCAACTATCCAAGCAGTGCCACTACGATTGGGGTCTGCGATCCCTGAACTCTGTATTGAGAATGGCCGGTGTGATGAAGCGCCAGTCGGAGGATCTTCCTGAGGCGGTGGTGCTGATGCGAGTGCTGCGCGACATGAACTTCCCCAAGTTCGTGTTCGAGGATGTGCCGCTCTTCCTGGGGCTCATCAAGGATTTGTTTCCGGGCATCGACTGTCCCCGCATCGGCTATCCGGACTTCAATGCGGCCGTGCGTCATGTGCTGGTCAACGACGGCTACATTCTGCTTCCCGATCAGGTGCGTCCCTCCGCCGGTTTGTGTCCCGTCACTTCCCTGTTGACAGGCGGCCATCACGTTGACACTTTGTAAATTGCGCCATGTCGCATAATCGCAAATGAAGGAAATGTTACAAAGCACTTTGCCCCGATGCCTCCTGGTGCCCTACGTTCTACGTCCAATTTCAACTTTGCCTCTCCGACGCCAACTGCTGACAATTTTCACTAATACAATTTTCCATTTCTTGCTCTCTCTCCTTTTCCATCTCCATCCACGCTGTACCCTCAAACTCCGGGCGAAATCCTTGCCACTTTCATCAAACAAAATGTTGCGCAAATGTCCGGCCACCTCGCCTGCCGGAAACGGACAACTGGACATGCTGGACATGCGATGTCAACCTGCCGGCCTGGCCAACACCATTTATGACAACTAAATCCCAACGACGGCAACGCCTTCTCCTTCATCGTCGTCGTCGTCGTCGCCGTGGTGGTACTTTACAGGAGGACAAAGTGGTGCAGATGTACGAGACCATGATGACCCGGCACTCGACCATGTTGGTGGGTCCAACAGGTGGCGGGAAAACGGTGGTCATAAATGCCCTGGTCAAGGCGCAGACCCACATGGGCCTGCCCACCAAGTGCCTTGTGCTTAACCCCAAGGTAAGTGGATTCGGCTCCGTTCCCTAAATTCAGGCAGCGCCCAAATTGCCTCCCCCTGCGAGCACTTTCCGAGTTGCGCCCGCCCTTTTATGAGCGTTGGTGCATGTCCTTTGGCCTCGTCCTGTCTTCAAATTGCAGCTCTCTGTCCTCCGCATTTTGCTTTGGCAAATCTGAGTTTTTAAGTGCTTGTGAAATCGTTCAATTGCATGCCATTGTAATTAGTTGATGCAATATGGAGGAGCATTGGATACTGCGATTGGGAAGCAATCAAACCTTGCCTTCCTCCCCCTGCTCGACTTTCATTATACGTATTGTGCCTGCATTAAAGTTTAACCAAGTGTAATTTGGCCATATGAGAGTTTGTTTACCATCTCGTTCGTTTCGCAGGCCTGCTCTGTGATTGAATTATACGGCTTTCTGGATATGGAAACGAGGGACTGGATTGATGGATTGTTTTCAAATATATTCCGTGAAATGAATAAGCCCATCGAGCGTGAGGTATGTGGAGGGGGCTGTATTTGGGTGGGATTAGGGGTGCCTCTGTGGCAAACACCTGGGCAAGTGACTGCGCCAACCACACGGGAATTAAAGTGCAGCATCAGCGAATCCCACACCCGTAATTTGGGTTCGGGATCGAATGGAGCTGCTTGTGGCTGCGCCGCATCATTCATGCGGAAATCGCATTCATACAGTAATAAGCCGGGATTGCATAACCACTGAAATAGGGCATATGGGTTTGGTAAAGAGCACAAGGTAATAGATAAAAGAACTTTAGCAATTTTGAAATTTATTCAAAATAAAAGTGGCCATAATTATTGCTTTTTTGATTTTTAGAGGGAAAAGATTGAATATTTTTAAGACATAAATAAAATATTAATTAGAATTATAGCCATTACCCTTATAACTTTTAACAATAATTTTCACTGATTTTGAAAAGTATATTTCAATGTTTATGGATGTATTTCTAAAAGTGCAATTCAAGTGAATTTAAAAAGCTTTGACTTAAACTAATGTTGCAGGGTAACTTTCAAATAAATTTCCTGGCCGTTTTCGCCATTTTTTATTGAGCGCGTCCCAACTGATTTTTTCACCCAAGCCCATTCATTCGGCTCTGCGGAGTAGTCCTTCGTGGGCGGCGGGCTTACTGGGGTGAGCTTACCGGGCAGAAAGGAACTCCGGTGACAGGCGTTGTGTAACGCACTTAGGCTAATGCATCCCGATGCCATCTCGCCGACAGGAGCGCCGCTACGCCTGCTTCGATGGAGATGTGGACGCCCTGTGGATCGAGAACATGAACTCGGTGATGGATGACAACAAGCTGCTGACGCTGGCGAACGGCGAGCGCATTCGCCTGGAGAACTACTGCGCCCTGCTCTTCGAGGTGGGAAACCTGAACTACGCCTCCCCCGCCACGGTTTCCCGGGCAGGAATGGTTTACGTGGACCCGAAGAACCTGCGGTACAGTCCCTACTGGCAGCGGTGGGTCCTCACCCGGCCGGAGCCCCAGCGGGAGCTGCTGAACGACTTCTTCGAGAAGATCATCACGCAGGCAATAGCTTTCATTTTAGAGGGTCTGGATGGCACCACGCAGGGGAATCCCTTGAAACTGGTTATTATGCAGACGGATCTTAACATGACCACGCAGTTCTGCAACCTGTACGACGCCCTGCTGCCCAACTACGTGATGGACAGCAAGAACTACGACGAGCCAGTGCTGCAGACGTACAACACGGACACTCTGGAGTGCTGCTTCCTGCAGGCCGTCTACGGATCCCTGGGCGCCTGCCTGCTGGAGAAGCACCAGATCGTGTTCGACGAGTACATGAAACGCATATCCGGCTTCCCACTGGTGCAGGACACCCCGGAGAGTCCCGCATCCGGAGGGCAGTTCCCGCAGAGCAAGCCCACGCTGTACGACTACTTCTGGGACATCAAGGACAACGTGTGGAAGGCCTGGGAGTGGGTGGTGCAGCCGTACACGCACGACCCGCAGGTGAAGTTCAGCGAGATCCTGGTGCCCACGGTGGACAACACGCGGACAAACCGAACACTGAGTCTGATGAGCGAGGTGAGTGGTGCACGGCATGCAATGGATGCACGGGAAAGTCATTACTCCCGGCTTCCTTATTAATGTTTGCCCCTATTTCGACTGCGGTTGCGGTTTCGTTCACCCAATAACCAAAACTCCTCCTTCCCGTTTGCAGATCAAACGACCCGTTCTGCTGGTGGGCGAGGCGGGAACATCAAAGACGGCCACCATCATGCAATATTTGCGCAATCTCAATCCGAGTGTCAACGTAATTGAAAAATCTCTCTGACAAACGTCGCGTTCCCGGCTAACATGGCGCCCCCAACCTTTCGCATCCCTTTCAGGTCATACTCAATATTAATTTTTCATCGAGGACCTCCTCGCTGGATGTGCAGCACACTCTGGAGGCGGCCGTCGAGAAGCGCACCAAGGATACGTACGGGCCACCGATGGGCAAGAGAATTGCCTGCTTTATTGATGACATGAACATGCCGCAGGTGGATGAGTGAGTTCCGCGTCGTTACATCAGGAAGACACAGAGTGACGAGCTCCGGTCTGATTATTTTTTCCCTGCCCCTTTCCCCCTTGCCCCCTCCACAGGTACGGCACCCAGCAGCCAATCGCCCTGCTGAAGCTATTCTTCGAGCGCGGCGGAATGTACGACCGCGACAAGGATCTCAACTGGAAGAAGTTCAAGGACCTCACCTTCTACGCAGCCATGGGAACGGCGGGCGGCGGTCGAAACGAGGTGGATCCCCGGTTCATCAGCATGTTCTCAACGTACAACATCATATTCCCCAACGACGAGTCCCTCATCCAGATCTACTCGTCCATCTTCAAAGGCCACATGACCTTCGTCAAGTTCCAGGACAAGTATATGATGATAGCCGACATGATTGTACACATGACACTAAAGCTGTTCAAGGTAAGAAGTTTCTTTATTACGGGATTCAACCAAGTTATTTATAAATAGGAAATATCATTTATATCAGTACGAATCGTTCAATCATAGCATATATGTATTTCTCTAACCTCTAACCTCATGAAAACCAATTAGGGATTACATTTTCCTGACATATTGCTCAAAGATATTTCTGTGACCCCCGTTTAGGTGTGTTCCGTTGAATAAATTTACCAGCTTTAGCCAGAATTTATTTCAATATCAAAGAACACCTTGACTGCATTCAGTGCAAATTCAGTAGAAGAAATCAATTCCTGAATAATGCTTTAAGGCCTCTCACAAATTTTATGAAATTCGATTTACATATGCAAATAACGACAATTTTTCATAATCTGCTTTGCCGTGCCGCCCACCATTTTGCCGGCTCCGTTCCTCGTACAATGGAAATGGAAATTATTCAATGGTCTGTAATGCACTGCGACGTCGGGCTTCGTCCTCTCCATCGTCCTTGTTCTCAATCTCGTAGCTGCTCCATTGGTTTTTCGAGTGCAACTCAGTGCCGTAGAGCCGTAGTCGTCGCAGACCCGCCCCGTACTTCTGCACCACTCCACTCCACTCCACAGGAACCACTCCACTTTGCCCTCACAATGGTCACCCGCCTCGACGGCTGCCTAGTTGACTGTATCTGGGCCTCCTCTGCCCCTCTCCTCCGCAGCCCGCTCCCCATCCTAAATGTATCTGTATCTGCGACCCGTTCGGTCTCTATCTCTGCCGGAATATCTTGGCCGGAGCGAAATTTGATTATGTTCGAGTATTGAACTGCAAGGAGATGGCTCTTTTCGCAGCTGTGGGCGTGGCTCCGAACTGAGGCCGTAGTTTATGGTACTTTTAACAATTGTTGACACTAAAATATTATCGCATTTCATTGCGTGCAGATAAAAATGCATTTGTCGCCGCAATTGCCACAAGACGAAGGGCTTGCCTCCCCCACTCCGCCTCCATCGAAAACCGAAAAATGTTTGGGGTGAAAATGATTTACTCACACCTGCTGGCCCCTCGTCCTCGAGCTCCCAGTTCCCAGTTCGTATGTCTTCTTTACACACTCGGGCAGGATATTAATGCCCCACGAAATGGAGTGAAATGAGTTATTTGAATAGAATTGCCGTTACTCAGATGCGCGCTCCCTGCTGCGGCGACTGCAACTCGATAATGGCTGTAAATTCAGCAACTTGGCAATGTCCCCAGGGGGCGGGGGAGGAAGAGGAGGTCCTGGCTGCGTCCCTTGCGAACGCATATTGCTAGTCGAGATAAAATTGATTTGTGTGGCGGGGTCTTGGGTGCTGGCTACATGGGTTATTGTCTGTGCTGCCTGCTAATGCTAATTGCTTCCTGTCCCCCAGATTGTGATTGTGGATCTGCCGCCGACGCCCTCCAAGTTCCACTACATCTTCAATCTGAAGGATCTGTCGCGCATTTTCGCCGGAATGCTGTTGATCGAGCCCACCTGCTTCAAGAATCTGCGGGACTTGATCAGAGTGTGGCGCAACGAGTACACCAGGATCATCTGCGATCGCCTGATAGCGGATTCTGTATGTTAAATCTACTTGGAACTGTTTTATTCTTCTAAATGTTCAAATTTAAATTATCATAGGACATTGCTAATGTGCGTAAAACTCTGGCTGCTGAAGTGGCCGATCGTTTTCCTCCGTCCTTTGAGGAGGAGCACGGATTCATTGATGCAGCGGAGGCGGAAGCAGAGGCTCAAGCTCGACTGCTCTACGAACCGTCTAAAACAGACATGGACATGGGAGAAGAGGAAGGTGAAGAGGAAGAGGAGGGCGAGGAGGCACCTGCGGTGATACTAAATCTTAAGGACTACGTCCTGCGGGATCCGCTGCTCTTTGGTGACTTCCGCAACTTCACCAACGAATCGGAGGCCCGTTTGTACGAGGATTTGCTGGACTACCCCTCTGTTTTCTCCCTGTTCACCGAGATCCTGGAGGAGTACTGCGAACGCAAGCAGAAGATGACGCTGGTTCTCTTCGAGGACTGCCTGGAGCATCTGACCCGAGTCCACCGAACACTGCGCATGAATCGCGGCCATGTGCTGCTCATTGGAGTTGGTGGCAGTGGAAAGAAGTGCATCACCCGACTGGCATCCTTCGCAGCCGAGTGTGAAGTGTTCGAGATCACCATTTCACGAGGTTACAATGAGGCCGCCTTCCGCGAGGACCTCAAGGTCCTGTACACCATAGCGGGCGTGAAGCGGAAGAAAGTTGTCTTCCTGTTTACGGGAGCTCAGGTGGCCGAGGAGGGTTTCTTGGAGCTGATCAACAATATTCTCACAGTGGGTCAGGTTCCTGCTTTGTTCCCAGATGAAGACAAAGACGGCATTGTCAATCAAGTGCGCAAGTTTGCCGAGGAGGAGGGTATTTCGGCTTCCAAGTAAGTGGGGATTATAACCAGATGGATAATTCACATAACTCTTTTATTCTTTTTACTTTTTTTTTCTCGCCAGAGACGCTGTTTGGGCCTACTTCCTGCGCACCTGTGCGGAAAACCTTCACGTGGTCCTCTGCATGTCTCCGGCTGGCGATGCGCTGCGCAATCGGTGCCGCAATTTCCCGGGACTCATCGGCAGTACCTACATCGACTGGGTGTTCCCGTGGCCCCGACAGGCATTGTACGCGGTGGCCAAGCTCTTCCTGACCGAGCATCGCCTTATTCCGGCCGACCATCGGGATGCCATCGTCGAGCACGTGGTCCATGTGCACACCACCATCCAGCAGTACTCGAAGGACTATCTGGCCAAACTGAGGCGCAACAACTTTGTGACGCCGAAACACTATTTGGACTATATAAATACCTACAGGGGATTGTTGGGTAATAAGGAAAGAAGCAGTTCCATTAAATATAAAAGCTAACTCTTTACCTTCGCAGAGGAAAAGGCCAAATTCATCACCCAACAACGATCGCGTCTTGGAGAGGGAATCAAGAAAATCGAGGAGGCGTCGGTGCAAATCGACGAGCTCCGCATTATTGTCACGGAGCAAAAGAAGAACGTAGCTGTTGCCTCGGAGGAATGCGAGGCCATGCTGGTGACCATCGAGTCGTCCACCCAGAAGGCCAATGTAAAGAAGGCTGAGGCATCAGAGAAATCCGTTGAAGTGGAAATCAAGGGCAAGCAGATTGCCATCGAAAAGGACGAGGCCGAGGAGATCCTGGCCGAGGCGATGCCGGCCCTCGAGGAGGCCAGATTGGCTCTGTCCCAATTGGAAAAGGCCCAGATCACGGAGATCCGATCCTTTGCCACTCCACCAGCTGCAGTGCAGGTGGTCTGCGAATGTGTGGCCATTCTGAAAGGATATAAGGAGATCAATTGGAAGAGTGCCAAGGGAATGATGAGCGACGTGAACTTCCTGAAGAGCTTGATGGAAATGGATTGCGAGGCGTTGACCCAGAAGCAGATAACCCAGTGCAGGCAGCACATGAAGAGCGGAAACCTGGAGGACATGGCCAAGATCTCCATCGCCGGAGCAGGACTTCTTAGATTCGTAAGGGCTGTTTTGGGCTTCTTCGACGTGTACAAGGAGGTGAAGCCGAAGAAGGAGCGGCTGGACTTCCTCGTAGAAGAGCAAGACGTGCAGATCAAACTGCTCAACCACTTGAACTCTGAGATCCAAAAGCTGGAGGAGAAGCTGAACCAGTTGAACGAAAACTATGCAACCTCCATGAAACAGATGAAAGCCCTTACTGAAATGATGCAGCAGGCTGAGCGGCGGCTGATCGCCTCCGATAAACTGATCAGCGGCTTGAGCTCCGAATTGATCCGCTGGAGCAAGGAGATGGCCAGCCTGGGCCAGCAGCTGATCGACAGCGTGGGAGTTTGCCTCATCAGTGCCTCGTTTTTGGCCTACACAGGCGCCTTTACCTGGGAATTCCGCAAGGCGATGGTCTTCGATGACTGGCTGGAGGACATCGTTTCCCTGGGAATTCCCATTCAGCTGCCCTTCAGGATCGATGGCTACCTCACCACCGATGTGGAGATCTCGCAGTGGACCAACGAGGGTCTGCCGCCCGACGAGCTGTCCATTCAGAACGGCATCCTCACCATGAGAGCATCTCGCTTCCCCCTTTGCATTGATCCCCAGCTGCAGGCGCTTCAGTGGATTCGCAAGAGGGAGTTCCGCCACAACCTCAAAGTGCTCTCCTTCAGCGATTCGGACTTTCTCAAGCAGCTGGAAATGGCCATCATGTATGGAACACCCGTGCTGTTCGAGGATGTGGACGATTACATAGACCCGGTGATAGATGACATCCTGCAGAAGAACATTCGCATTCAGGGCGGTCGCAAGTTCGTCATGCTGGGAGACAAAGAGGTGGACTGGGATCCTGGTTTCAGGGTCTACCTCACCACCAAGTTCTCCAATCCCAAGTTCGATCCTGCCGTGTACGCCAAGGCATTGGTTATCAACTATACGGTGACCCAAACTGGGTTGGAGGATCAGCTGCTGAGCGTGGTGGTGGGCACCGAGCGGCCGGATCTGGAGGCTCAGCGAGAGTCCCTGATTGAGCAGACCAGTGAAAACAAGCAGCTCCTGCAGCAGTTGGAGGACTCGCTGCTCCGTGAGCTGTCCACCTCGACGGGCAACATGCTGGACAACGTGGAGCTGATAGAAACTCTGGAAAATACGAAAACCAAAGCGGGCGTCGTCATGGAGCAACTGAAACTGGCAGCGGATACGGCGGCTGACATTGAGGTCCTGCGAAACGGTTACCGACCGGCTGCCAAACGAGGAGCAGTGCTCTTCTTCGCCCTTTCGGATATGGCCACTGTTAATAGCATGTACCAGTATGCCCTGGCCGCCTATCTGGATGTCTTCGTCTACTCCCTCCGCAAAGCTGTGCCGGATGCGAGTCTGAACAAGCGACTGAACAACATCATCAAAACGCTGACGGAGAACGTCTACTGCTACGGATGCACGGGCATCTTTGAGCGGCACAAGCTGCTCTTCTCCTTCCAGATTGCCACGAAGCTGGCCCAGAGGGACGGCATCCTGCTGCAGTCGGAGCTGGACTTCTTCATCAAGGGCAGCATCGCGCTGACCAAGAGCGAGCGGTCCAATCCCTGCAAGTGGCTGGGCGAGAAGAGCTGGGAGGATGTGCTCAAGTTGAGCTTCGACTTCCCGGAAACCTTCGGCACCTTGCCAGACCACTTTGGTCGATTCAACGCCGAGTGGAAGGAGGTAAGTTCGTAATGGCTTGGCTCGGGGAAACTATTGATTGTACTTTGGGATTTGTAAGAGCTCCAAGCGATGTTCAATTGGTGGTCTGAAATGGTTTCAAATTATTGCCATTTAAAGCATTTGATGAAACAGTTACGTATTTTATTACATTTTATTCTTACTGATAGAAACAGCCAAGATGGATTTCCGGTTCGATTTCTACCTTTAAAAGCGCATTTTAAATGTTATTTCAACTGTCCAAACACCCCAGTCGCTGAACCCCAATGGAGGGTTCAACCGTACGCTGCTAAATGTTCATGCTTTCCATATTTTTCGTATTTTCCTTTCCGATTTTCCCGCTGCTCGCTTGGGTGCATCATCTTCAACGTCAACGTCAACTGCGATGCCGTTATCAAATTGCTGCTACTGCTGTTCTGTGGACGGTGCTATAAAATGCACAACAACAATAACAACAAAAACATCAACGATGGACAAACAACAACAAACATGCAACAACCACGAACCAACCAACAACAACCCAACAACTTGGACTTCGGATGGTCGGTCGATGGGAACGAAACGGCTTCTGATTCTGATTCTGACTGGCATGTGGCATTCACTGACTTCCGTTCCGTTGCCGACGCTCATTTTGCCTGCACTTATCGCCATCGCCATCGTCATCGTCATCCGAATGCCCATGAACTGGCTGCTCTGGGTGTTCTGGCTTTCTGTGTCCTGCTCCTGTGTCCCGTGTCCTGCCGCCTGCCTTCTGCCGTCTCATCGCCCAGTGGTTCGACTTGGAGAATCCCGAGGAGGTGGCATGTCCGGGCGACTACAACATCAATTGCAATGCATTCCAGGCAAGTGTACTCACCCACTCGCTTTGCATGCTTTCAGCTTCGAGTGGTCCTGGCCAGGAGCTGCTCCTCCAGCTCGAGCTTCAGCTGCTCCTTCCCCTCCTCCTCCTTTTCCTCCTCAGATTCCTCCTCCTGCTGAACTTGCAGTTGCCGTCGCTGTTGCCCGTTTGCCATTGAGCGTTATTGGATTTCGTACTTTATGTCCGCTTCTAGTGGATTATTATGTACAAGCGAAGCGGCGCTCACCCACCGAAACCACCGGCCCAACCCCCAACGAACCCAACCCAAAAGAACGCCACCTCGGGGGGCGTTTAGTTTTACTCGACTTTTGCTACGTCCTGCAACTTTGGCGCACATTTTCCTCTCAAGTTATTAGCAGCCTGTTTTTGTCAGCCAGCATGCTGGCAGTATCTCTATATATGGACGCCTCTCTGTGTGTGTGCATTACCATATTTTATCAATTTTCCAAACCATTAGATGAGCGGCAATTTGCGCCCGCAGTCGCACTTGAAACCAGCGCCAAGCGAAGCGAGCCCAATTTGCACTTGAGTTCGGCTATAGAAGCCGCAGAAACGTTGGCAACACCCGAGGGCAACAGCGACAGCAACAGCAATATCAGGAGCAATAGCAACAATGGAGCAGCTACTGGCCAACTATGGAGGACCGATGACGAGCTGTCAGCGGTTCATTGTCATCTGAGGGTATTAAAATGTCTAAGGCGATGGGCTTCTCCCACAGAAATTAATGTTCCTGCGCTGCTTCCGCGTGGATCGCATCTTCCGGTGCATAAATCAATACATCGTCGAGACGATGGATGAGTTCTATATTATGCCTCCGGTGGTGAGCTTCGCGGCCATCTACGAGCAGACCTCCAGCACGATTCCCGTGTGCTTTGTACTGAGTGCCGGTTCGGATCCCACCAACGATCTGATAAAGCTGGCGGACACTATCGTGGGCATGTCCAACTTCAGCCACATCTCACTGGGACAGGGACAGGAGAAGGCTGCTCTGCGACTGCTGGACACAGCCATCAAGCAGGGAATGTGGCTGATGCTGCAGAATGGACACCTGCTGATCAGGTTCGTCCGGGAGCTGGAGAAGTATCTGGACCGCATCGAGAACCCGCACCCGGACTTCCGACTGTGGATAACCACAGATCCCACGCCCACCTTCCCCATTGGCATTCTGCAGAAGTCGCTCAAGGGTGAGTTAACTGTGATTCCATTTAATAGCAAACATTTAATAAATAATTTACATATACATATATCAATTTAACGAAGGATAATTGCTCTTTTATGTTGCAATATAATTTTTACATTATCGAATTATTCAATTATTGAATAATTAGTAATTATTTAATATACTGACCCTCCTCCACAGTGGTCACGGAGCCACCCAATGGCCTCAAGTTGAATCTGCGCTCCACATACTTCAAAGTGCGGCAGGAGCGCCTCGAGAGCTGCTCCCATCCCGCCTTCAGGCCACTGGTCTACGTGCTGGCCTTCTTCCACGCAGTCGTCCAAGTAAGTGAGCCATCAGAGCGAGCAACCCATAGATATCGCTATTTACTGCCGTGAACCCAGCTGGTCGAGTGTGCGGAGTGGAGTTGTTTATTTATTAATCTCTTAATTTCTAGCAGCTGAAAGCTTTTCAGAGCTAAGTTGCACAATTGATGGAGCAGCGGCAGCGGCAGCAGCAACAGCAGTTGCAGCAAATTGATATTGATCGTCCGCGCGGAGGCACTTCGATTAATTTGTGTAACCATTTTCCAATCCGCAGGAGCGCCGCAAGTACGACAAGCTGGGCTGGAACATAGCGTACGATTTCAACGACACGGATTTCGAGGTGTGCACCGAGATCCTGCGCACCTATCTGACGCGCTGTGGCTCGAAAATACCGTGGAACAGTTTGAAGTACCTAATTGGCGAGGTGATGTATGGCGGAAGGGTCATCGACGACTTCGACCGGCGCATCACCAACTGCTACATGAACGAGTACATGGGCGACTTCCTGTTCGACGAGTTTAAGGTCTTCCACTTCTACGAGGACGAGAACGTGGACTACTGCCTGCCGGAGGAGGAGACCATCCTGAAGGAGGACTACATAGGTGAGCGAAGGGGATTTCGGAGGGTGCACTTCCCCCGGCTATTTACATATGTAATGCATTGATAACAGCGCACATCGACAAACTGCCGCTGGTCAACAAGCCGGATGTATTTGGTTTGCATCCGAACGCGGAAATCGGTTATTACACAATGGCGGCCCGCAACATTTGGAACAGTTTGATTGAGCTGCAGCCGCAGACTGGTGAGCCATCGCATATATAACCAATATCTGCTCTAGATAGCAATCCCCAATCCCCCAAACCCAAACCCCAATCGCCAATCGGCAATCCCCACAAAGCCCACATTTTACCCCGGTTATCACACGCTTAACTTTCCGCTAACCGTAGATAATTCGAATCGGATTCGGAGCGAAAAAAGTAATGATAATAATGTAATATAGATATGCGCGCGGCCAGAACTGGTAAATGGTTCAATTTGCATGCAACGTGTGCCAATTGTCAGCCGTTTATTACATTTTATCTTGTTGATTTTCATTCCGAAGCTCTCGCTCCACTCTGCTATGCTATGCAATGTTGTACTTTTGGCATGTTGAATTTTTAATTTAATTTAATTAATTAGTTGCGGTTTTGCAATTAACTTTATTGCATGCGCCATTATTGCCGGCGCACAACAGCAGTGCACACATTAAAAATTAAAATAGAACCGCACACGTGGCCCACACGACGGATCGGGTCAGATTGGAGGGCACATACGACGACTATACTATACTATATGTACATACACGGGTGTGCACGTCCTCATAACCATTCCCATCGGCACTCACTCACTCACTTTCATCGCACTGCCGCAAATCGCAGCGAATCGAGTTCAAACCTCACCGCGGCGACCGCCATCAGAAGTACCAAAAAATGGCGAGAACGTCACACAAAAGTCGATAATTTTGCGTTACGGGCTTAAACGTGTTAAAACCGCCATCAGAGTGCACTTTCCCTGCCACGCCCCAGCACCCACCCCCCCATAGCCGCCCACTTGGCACGCCCCTCACAATCATGCATATTTATGTGTGTGTGGCCTTGTAAATAATTGTATATACAATTTGGAATACTTTTTTAAATATATTCGCACACATGAAGTTACCAAGTGGACACCACCGACCGAAGTCAATCCTGGTAAAGTATTCAGCGCAAACAGAAAACAGAAAAGCCACCCAACCAGCGCCCATTTAGTGTAAATAAAAATAATAATAAGAACAAATATTTCCACTGATTAAAAATCGAGTTTCGCCATTTTATTTCAATTCATCGAGATACGCACCAAGATACGTGCGAAAAGAAAAAGCGTTCAACTGCAGCAAATTTTTTAAGCTCTACCAATGAATACGATTTTTTCTATCTGCCGGACAAAACTTTTAAATTTAAAACATGTTTTTGTTAAAAATAAATTTGTAGATATTATAAATTAAAGCATATAATAGAGTAGGACCAGGAAAATCTAAAGTTTTCTAATTAAATCAACCGATCAATGCCAACATGCCCGAGTTGCTTCGAGTAGGTCCCTAAAAAATGGCGATAATTTGCATATTCATGAGCTTTAGTATTTGCTAATTGACACTTGAACAAAAAATAAAGCAGGGACCGAAAAAATGTTATTTGGGTGGCAGATAAAGGGAGAAATTAATAAAATCCACATACATAAAAACAGGAGCTTAACGAAAAAGGCAAGGGGAAAACCACAGGCTCTGCATATATTACTGGGCCATTTTCCTTGCCTTTGTCCCGACACCTGCCAGCACCACAATTCCGCACTCACTTACTCCCTTTTCCAACTTATCCAGGTGAGGGAACCGGAGGAATAAGCCGCGATGACTTCATCGACTCGGTGGCAGCAGGCATCCTGAAGAAGCTGCCCCCTGCCTTCGAGACCTGGCGCATCCGCAAACAGATCCAGATGAGCCTGTCGCCCACCGGAGTGGTGCTCCTGCAGGAGCTCGACCGCTTTAATCTGCTGGTCGTGCGGATCAAGAAGACGCTGGAGCTGCTCCGCAAGGTAACTAACTGCTCCGCTTTATCCCGGGATTTTCTCGTATATGGCTGTCAATAGAGGCCGCACATAAATCCTTCAGCCTTGTTTTGCATTTCGCATTTGTTTATGCATTTGCCAACTTGGCCGGCGACCAAGCAAACAATGTCCAAATTTGAATGTGGGTGTTGGGCGTTGGTAGATAGGAGATGGGCGCCGAGGGAGATCCCGCCTTCGAGCTAAGGCTGCATTTTGTTGCCAAAATAAATTTACAAATGCAAATGAACCCGGCTGCTGGGTGGGCTGTCTTTGTCTTGGCCCCGGGATCTGCAGTCACGCCCACACATGTGCCTCTCCATTGTGCCTTTTAATTTAATTGCATGCTCTCCGCAGGCGATTGCCGGCGAAATCGGCATGGACAATGTGCTGGACAACATTGCCAACTCGTTGTTCAATGGCCTCCTGCCAGCCGCGTGGAGCAAGTTGGCGCCGGCGACATGCAAACAGTTGGCCAGCTGGCTGGAGCATTTGCGGGTGAGTCCTTCGAACCGGTCCGCCGTCCTTTCACCGCCGCCTCTCGCAGGCGCAGCTCATTAATCAGCTAAGCGCAAAATCAATCAAGGTGAGTTCGTGTCCACTAATCAGGTCTCCGCCCCCCATTTCCCTATTTCCCCAGCTCCGTGCCGTGCAATACAAATACTGGACGCTTTCCGGAGAGCCCCTGGTCATGTGGTTGTCGGGTCTGCATATTCCGCAGAGTTATCTCACGGCCCTAGTGCAGGTGAGTCGCCATTGTCACACCTTAACTGGTGGGACACTCAAACAAACCTCTACGTATTTTCAAGGAATGTAATTAAATTGCTATTACATTTTCCGTTTTAATAAGTTGTTCTTTAATTTAAAAAAATAATAGTTTTCAGGTATTCTTTATAAATAATAATTTATCTCAACTTTCATTGGAAGGAGGTTTTTCAATCAGCAGAGAGTGCATATTTTCCCTAATTTTCCCGAGTGTAAATTTGCATCCTTTCAGATTGCCTGTCGCCGAAACGCCTGGCCGCTGGATCGCTCCACGCTGTTCACCTACGTAACCAAGTTTGCGGACCCCGACGATGTGGAGGAGCGTCCTGTGACGGTGAGTTGGCCAACAGGGAGACAGACCCACTCCTCCCCCGGAACTCTAAATGCAAAACGATGACCCAACTCCATCCGGTTCCCGGTTCTGAGTTCCGGGTTTCGGGTTTCGGGGGCTGGCACTAATTTCGTAATTAGGAATTCTGTTTGCATTTTAATCGCTCAACTTTTTGCAGGGCTGCCTGGTGCACGGTCTGTACATCGAGGGCGGGCGCTTTGACTTGGCCACTAATCAGCTGGCGCGTTCCCGTCCCAAGGTTCTGGTCGAGGAGCTGGCCATCCTCGCCGTGGAGCCCATTGAGGCGCACCGTCTCAAGCTGCAGGTTCGTATGGGTTCCCAGTTCCCAGTTTCCCGTGGGGATGGGATATTTAGCTGGTCAGGAGGGACAACCAGGATAGCTGGCTACGTCGCCGTCTGCCAGTGACAATTACTAATGTGCAGTTGTATCTACATATGCCGGGGGCGGCGGACGGCGGAAGGGGCGTGGCCACGCTGATATTTGTTTAAATGCATAGCACTAAATTACCAGCAGCTTCCGCAAAGCGTTCAGCCATCTGTTGTGCTAATTGTTTCCGAGTTTAAATACCGGACGGCTTTTGGGAAGTAAAAAGGAAGACAATTTAAATTCGGGAAACCGTGAACTTGGTTTTGCTGACGGGTTCTTACTGTTACTTTTACCCCGCAGAATACTTACCTTGCCCCGGTTTATACAACATCGTTGCGAAGGAACGCCATGGGCGTCGGCCTGGTCTTTGAGGCTAATCTGGCCACTTCCGAGGATCTGAGCCACTGGATTCTGCAGGGCGTCTGTCTTACCCTCAATACAGATACCTAGGACGTTTCATTTATAAGAAGGCTGACTATTTGTTAATATTAGTTGTTCGTAGTCGAAATGTTTGTACCACATTCTAGTACTTCCGTGTAAATAAATACTTAGATCAAAATCTTGAAAATTAAATTGAACAATTCAATATTTTTTTTAGTTACAAATAAATACTAGGCCTCTAACCAACCAATAGTAGACTTTATTTCTTTCCACCCTCTTTCAAAGTTTAAATAAAAGCCGTCTTTATTTTAGTATTGATTAATATTTATCGAATGGATTTTTCTAAGCCAAATAAATCTATGTTTACAGCTCTGTAGTGGCAATGGAGTTTAATATTAGTACGTAGGTTGCTAGTGCCTGTCAATAACGTGATTTGTGCCTGAACCGTCTGCTGATATACCTCCGCTCCTCCGCCCGGCATTACCTGCGCCGCCAGCACCCGAAGCAGCCCTTGAACTTGTCCAGAATGGTCGACTTCATGGAGGGCAGCAGGAGCTCCAGGTTCTGGGTGCCACCGCTGTCGTCCGACTCCAGGTCCGACTCGATGGTCATCTCCTGTATGCTGAAGGTGTCAGTCAGTTCGTGGTTCTGCTGGCGGCGTTTGGACCGCTTCAGTTGGGCGGGAAAGAAGGATATTTCCTCGGCCTCATCGCTGCTCTCAGACTTGTAATCCACGAGGGGTTTGTGTTCGGGCTCGCCCGGAATGGGAAGTCGGTTGATCGGTATCAAAGTGGACGATTGTGTCTTGGTCGACTGTGTACAAAAATAGATTAATAGTCAGATACACCTATTGCAGCTAAGCCCACCTGCTCCTCCTGAAACTGGGTGTAATTCCTCCTGGCACGCTCGACCTTCAGCTCCAGTTTGCGCTGCAGTATGCGGCAGGTGTTGGGTGGCTCATGTCCTCGACCGCCGGTCGCCTCCTCTTCATCGATTTCTATGGTCGTGGGGGCATAAACCTTCCCAGCCCCCCGGAATGCCACCTCAAACTCCAGATCCGAAATGTGTTTGGGTGCTCCGCTGGCCGTTTTCTGCAGTGACGTTGTTCCGTGAAAAATTGCATTGCCTCCTCAGCTGTTGAGGTCGCTGATCGAATTCACTTACCAGCAGGCCAGCTGCCCCGTCCTCGTAAATGTTGGACTGCCTGTCCTCGCTGTCGATGCCGCTGTCCTCCATTTTCAAACCGCACTTTGTTTAACTTTCTTTTAAAAAGTGTAAAAAATTGCACGCGATGACAATACAAACAGCTTTTTTTAATATCTTCCTCTTTGCGACTCCCAAACTCCAATCAACCCCAAAGTTCAGAGCGCAGGCTCCGGAAAACAGCTGCTGCGGAAAAGCTGGGGAAAAATCAATAAACCCCTTTACGAAAAGCGTTGCCAGATGGCGTGGCTTTTTGAAAACTTGGGGGAAACATCCCCCTAGATTGGACATCTTTTATACGTATGCACTCTTTATTATGTAGTTTTAATTTATTTACAATTATTGGTTTTAGGCTTAAATGCTTTACTCGTTGCACAGAAATGTAGTCGTAGAAACTAAAAAGTAGAATGCAAATTCGTTTTAGCCGCTTTTTTCCTCGATTGAATTAAAGGTTACTCGTAGTCAAGAATAAATAGGAACACAAACATAAAAACACTAATACTATTTGCTTTTGTTCTGGAAGAGAGTAAAATACTACATGCATTAGAAGTTCGTTCGTACTTGATCTTTAGGCTTTTGGCTATTGTCTATGGCTAGGCAACGGTTGGCTTTTTGGTCTCTCTGCGTTTGGATTTGGATTTCCCCTCCGATTCGGGGACGTCCGAGAATGGCGATCCAATTATTCTTGGGTGGTGCGTTTAAACTCAATTCAATGCGAAAATCAAAAGAAAAATACTCTGCTCTCTCTCTATTTGTGTGCACGGTGTGGAATTATACCGCATTGGGATGCTGGGGCTGGGCTATTTGACCCGCCAACGTGCAGGATCGGCAGCAGAACTTGGTGTAGTACGGGTTGAAGCAGTATTTGCCCTGGACGATCAGCTTGCAGTTGGCGAAGTACGGATTGTCGACGCACTCCGGCGAAACAGGTACAACAGCTGGAGAAACAACTAGTTTAGTAACTTCAACACTCATTTAAAAACTGAGAGCTTACATTGAATGGACACATTGGCTTCACTGCTGGCGTAGGTGTACGCATTGCTGGCACTGCAAGTGTACTTGCCCGAGTCCTCGGGGGTCACATCGTTCACAACCAAGCGATGTGGCTGGTCTGTAAATATATAAGACATCCCAGAATATTTAAAATAAATAAACAGTACAGAGTATAGAGTAGATTAAAGAACCTACTGATCTGCAGACAATTTTAACTCATATAAAGATTCTGATGCACTCACATGTAATTTGAACCCGCTGGTTGTTGTAGATGGGCACGTCATCCTTGGTCCAGGTCACATTGGGTTCCGGATAGCCTTGCACGGCGCAGTTCATGACGATGGTGGACCCGGCTGTGTAGCTGTTCTTCGAGTCCAGGGCCAGCACGGCATTAACATTGACTGTGAATCGAAGCAAAACGGGTTAGTTACTCCGTCTCTAAATTCTCTCTCTGTCTCAACAAACAAATCAAACACCATGCCAGGCCAGCGGAAACATGCAAGTGTGCGCTACTTACCCGTGGGCTCGGGCACGTAGGCCGGTCGAGTGGGTCGGAAGGGATAGCTGGGTCGTTGGGTCACCGGGCGAGTGGCCGGAGCCAGGACGTACTGCAAGTACTGGGCGTCCTCGTGGGTCAGTGCCCGAACAGGACCCACTGCCTTCAGAGTGACGCGCAGCGAGACAGGACGCCGCTGGTTGTAGACCTCACAGGTGTACAGGCCAAGATCCTTCAGCTGGATCGAGTTGAACACCAGCGAGTAGTCGCGGGCCATGAGGTTGTTCTTGAGGCCAAACATTTCCCCATTGCGCCACCAACTGACGTGCGGCTTCGGATGACCACCGGCGGGACAGCGAATCACCGCCGGGCGGTTCAGCTGCACGATCTGGGTGACATTCTTGTCGCCATAAATGTAGGCGGGAAGATTCTCGGCAGCTACCATCACCAATTTCAAGCAGGGATTAGGAAAAAGCAGGCAGCATGCGCAAAATGTGCAACATAAAGCAGTTAGTTACATAGCCAACACCAAAAAGAGTATGAGGAAACAGCCAAAGTTGGTTGACCAACTATCAGTAAATCGTTACTAAAACCACTCCATAGGAAATAACTTCTTTTGTAAAGTGAACCCGAAACTTTTTTATTCTTAACGACATCAGGTTTCTGGATAATCATAACGGACATAGCGGACAGTAATAAAAAAAATATACTTAAAGGCTTTTCCCATTTAGTAACGTGTAGTAGAGTAAATAGTAAATAGCATAAATAGTAAAGAAACAAACGCACCTGTGACCTGCAGAGCGACCTCTCGTCTCACAGGATCTCCGAGGCCATTGCTAGCTACACAGACATAGGTGCCATCGTCGGTCTGACGCACTTGGACAATGGTGAGGTCACCGTTGGGGGTCAGGACATAGCGACCCTTGTTCGTGTTGATCTGTGGACACATTCATGCATTTAAATCTAAAGATCAAAGGGGGTTACCTCTAGTTAGCTTACCACCAAATTCCTGAGCGACCAGGTGATGTTCGGAGCTGGGTTTCCGGTGGCGAAGCAGCGCAGCACGGCGATTCCTCCGATAGCGGCATGAACGTCCAGCTCGGTGGGTCGCTTGGGCTCCAGAGCCACCCTGACATCTCCGGGATAGACGACCACCGGTGCCTGGGTTCTGGGCGGCAGGGTGGGTCGAGCGGGATGCACACAGAGCTGTCCGCAGCCGTCGTTGCAGCACTTGGTGTCTCCGCGACAATCCGCATCAGTGTAGCATTCACGGGCACATCCGCTGGCATTGGCAGACAGGGCAGGACACTCGCCGGGCTTGTTCACTTCGCGGCAGAGTGGCGCGAACTGGCGATCATCGGTACTTGACACATCGACGGCGCACTTCTGGCCCTCCGGACAGCTGTAGCCCTCGCAGGGATCCTCGCAGACGCACTGCGTGCATTCTGGCTGGGATTGGGCGGCCACGCGGCGAACTCCATACGGGCATCGCAGTTCCTGGCACTCTGCATCGAAAGTATCGCACGGACTTTGTCCAATTCCGTTGTCCAGGTCGTTGGTTTCGGCTAAAAGATGATTCGAATGGGGTTAAGTAATGCTTAAACAGGATGATCTTCCACCCGAGTAACCCGTGCTAACTTAAGTCTAATGAAAGTGCACTAATCGCAACTACAAATGCTACTTCAAAGTATCTACGAAATCAAGCAGTTTGGGGTGAGCGGAGTGCAGGGTGCATTCGTGGTTGGTGGTTTGTAAGGTGCAGAGGTGCGGAGTGTTCTGTGGTGCAGAAGAAGTGTCTGGTGGGGGCTTACGTCGGCATTGGTTCGTGCATGCCTCGAAGGATCGGAAGTTGTTCTGGTTGCCGTTGCAACCCGCGTAAATGAAGGACATGCAGTTTCCTAGCGAGTCGTCGTAGTACCATCGGCGCTCGTGCACCGAGGGCCCATTGCAGCGGCCAGTCACCACCGGCTGCAGGCAGATGTCTACTTACGCAAGAGAAGAATCGGTTAGCCCAGCTACTCCAAGACGAAGCCCCAACCCCCCAATGTGTTACCTCTGGCCGAGTTCACCGTCGGCTCGCGACCGGCTATGCAAACCGTCTGACACTCGTACAGATCGTTGAAGCGGTTGCCGGTACCGTCGCAGCCGCCGTAGGTGAACGGCTCGCAGGCCTGGCTGCGCTTGTTGAAGTAGTAGCGGGTCTGCCAATCAGTACACGGTCCGGACGTCGCCGGCTCATTGCAAACGTCTGACACAAAGGATTAAAGCACCTGAAACACCGAGGTCCCCTCCCGATCGCCCCACACTTACCCACATCCTTGAACTCGCCGCATTGCCGTTCGCACTGGTCGCGCGTCTCGAAGCGGTTCTCGTTGCCGCCACATCCGGTGTAGGTGAAGGCGGTACAGGCCATGTTCTCGTTGTCGTAGAACCACGCGGTGGTGCGGTTGTCGCACTCACCAGCCTCTGGTGGCTGGCTGCATACGGGGTTGGTCTGCAAAGGGTTAAAGATACATAAGTCTTGCATAGAAAACATCTGTTGGATGGGGATCACGAAGCTAATTTTGTGGGGCAGATTGGATCTATTTGACTCTGTGATTGACTTACCGGTGCTGGTGGTTGGGGCTCGGGCTGTGGGGCCTGACCGCGGCAGAAGCTGAGACACTCCCTCTCCGACACGAAGTTGTTGCGGTTGCCGCGGCAGCCGGTGAACTCGAACTCGTGGCATCCGCCGGTCCGCTCGTCGAAGTACCAGCGGAGGGATAGCTCCCGGCATCGTCCTCGGACTGGCGGCAGGGCACAGGTGGTCTGGGCGTCGTTGCACTCGCTCTGGCACTCCTCCTCGGTGGCGTAGTTGTTGGCGTTGCCGCCGCAGCCACTGTAGACGAACTCGTCGCAGAGTCCCTCCTGGCTGTTGTAGAACCAGCGGGTCTCGTTGTTATAGCAATTGCCAGACTCGGAGGGCAGGAAGCACTTGGACGTGTCGGGATGAGGTTCCTCCACGGGTTCCTCCGGTTCCGCAGGCTCGGGAACGCCGAAACGGAAGTCTATTTTTGGATCGCACTGAGCAGTGCAGTCCTCCTCGGACTCAAAGCGATTATCGTTTCCGCCACAGCCGCCGTAGTAGAACTGCTGACAGATATTCGCAGTAGCATTGAAGCTCCACTTGAGTTCCCACTGATCGCATTCCCCTGGATCAGCCCTCTGCCTGCACTGGTCAGCAGGTGGGGCAGCTGGGGCAGGTTGCCTTGTGGGAGCAGCCACTGTAGTAGGCGGGTAAACTGCCGGAGGAGGTGGTCGCCTATTGCAGCGCTGCAGACAATCGGACTCCGTTTCGAAGCGATTGCCATTGCCGCCACAGCCGCCGTAGTAAAACTGCTGGCACCCACCGACCTTGCTGTCAAAGGACCACTTGATTGTCCAGTCGCCACACTCGCCCGGAGCTTGTGGCTCCTCGCAGATGTCTCCCCTACTGGGAGCTGGCGGGGGTGCGCGGGTGGTGGTCGTCGGCTCGGGCTTGCGATCGCAGCGGGCCAAGCAGGACTCTTCGGTGGGGAAGCGATTCTCGTTGCCGCCGCAGCCGCCATAGTAGAACTGGCGGCAGGTCTGGTCCTTGGTGTCGTAGTACCAGTTGGACACGTAGTTTGCGCACTCGCCCACCTCGGCAGGGATCTCGCAGATGTCTTTGGCTGGTCGGGCGAGGAGGGGTGGGAAGAGCGTGTGAGTAGGGCAAGGTGTTTGGGGTGGCGGAGAACGAACACACTTAAAGCAGACAACATCGAAAGCTTACCAACTTGCCGGGGGCAGTGGTCCTCGCAGGACTCCTGGGTGGGGAAGTTGTTCTTGTTGCCACCACAACCCGTGTAGTAGAAGGGCACGCAGCGCTTCTCGCTCTCGGAGAAGTGCCACTTGGCCAGTTTCTCGCTGCAATCACCGGTTTGCTTAGGAAGCGCACATTGGTCTGGGATGGTCGTGGGGTGGTGGAGGTGGTGGAGGTGTTGGGTGCAGGGGGTATTCGGTTGCGGGTGCGGATTCAGATTCGGGAAGTCGGCATAGCAAGTAACAAGCAATCATGCGCATACAATAAACCATGTAACCAAGCAGTTTTCGAAGAGGGAGGAGGAAAGTTTGGGAAGAACATACCGTTAACCAGGATGAAACAAAAGGATCAAGCTTAAAACTACTCGTAAAACCGAGCAATACATAGCATGCATTTAAACCCATTTCCCAATACAAGACACCGCAGCGGAATATATCAGATCTCAAACCTTTGAGCACGCCCGGCTGGCGGCAGTTGTAGTTGCAGGCGTGTTCCGTCGGGTAGTTGTTCTTGTTGCCCTTGCAACCTCCGTAGGTGAAGGGTCGGCAGACGTCGGTCTGATTGTCGTAGTACCATCGCTCAAAGTTACCGCTGCACGGTCCGCTCTCCACGGGCTGTTCGCAGGTGGCTGCAATAAGGACAGATTTATTATAAGCATCGTTTACCTTGATTTACGTTTATAAGAAGTAAGAGGTACTCAAATTATTTATTTTCGGTTTTTTTTTGGATCCAACTTCTTTAAGCTGTACTATACGATACTTACGAAGATTCTCGCTGGCAGCGCAAGTTCCCTGGCACTCCTCCAGGCTGTCGAAGCGGTTATTGGTGCCGTAGCAGCCGCCGTACTGGAACTCCTCGCAGCGGTTGCGCTCCACATCGAAGTACCACTTCTTGGTGAAGACCGTGCAGGGTCCGGAGCTCTTGGGCAGCAGGCAGACATGCTTTCCGGTGTAGTCCTGGCAGGTGTCCTTGCACTCGGCCTCGCTCTCGAATCGGTTGTCGTTGCCGTCGCAGCCGCCGTACCAGAACCGCGCGCAACCTCCGTAGGCGATGTCGAAGTAGTACTTGACGCTGAAGTTGCTGCAGGAGCCGGTCTCCTTGGGCAGTCCGCAGGCCTTCTGCGGGGGCTCCTGGACATTCTCGCAGCCGCCGAACTTCTCGTCCGTCGCCTTGCTGACTCCGTCGGGGCAGCAGCCGAACTTGCTCTCCACGCAGGTGCAGCCCTCGCCGTCGGGTCCCTTGGCGGGTGTCTTCTCGTCCTCGCAGCACTTGAACTCCGTCTGGGTGCAGTGGCATCCGTGGTGGTGGGGTCCCCTGGCGAAGGTGATTCCGTCGGGGCAGCACCCGAACTGGGTGGTCTCGCACGGGCAGCCCTCGAACTTGGGCCCCTTGGCGGCGGTGATCTTGTCGGGGCAGCAGCCGTGCTGGGTCGTCTCGCAGGCACATCCCTCCTGGTTGTAGCCGTGCGCAGGCGACTTGTTGTCCGGACAGCAGCCGAAGGGCGTGTAGTAGCAGTCGCAGCCCTCGTTGTTGGGTCCTCGGGCGGCCAGGATGTTGTCGGGGCAGCAGCCGTGGGCACTCTCCAGACAGCAGCCCTCGTTGTTGGGTCCGTGGGCCGGGGTCTCGGAGTCGGGACAGCAACCAAAGCGCTCGCGAGTGCAGGCGGCGCAGCCCTGGCCATTTGGACCGCTGGCCGCAGTCCGACCATCTGGACAGCATCCGTGCTCGGACTGAGCGCAGCCCTTGGGAGCCTCGGGCTCAGTTCCACAACCCTTGAAGTTTTCGCCCTTGGCGGGAGTTTCGGCATCTGGACAGCATCCGAATTCGGAATACGAGCAGGACTTATCGGAGGCTTCAGGTGTAGTCGAGTCTCCGGAACCCTCCAGCTCAGTTGTCGACTCTGGTTGCGACTCCTCTGTGGTGGTTGTGGGTGGTACGGTGGTCGTTTCGGGACATCCCTCATCATCCTCTCCTTCGGCAGGAGTGAAGTTGTCGGGACAGCAACCGAAGAGGCTCTCAGCGCACTGGGACTTCGGACAACCCTTATGATCCTTGCCCTTGGCGGGAGAAACTCCGTCCAGACAACAACCGTATTTGGTGTCCTTACAGGTCTTGGCAATCGGACAGCCCTCATCGAAAGGTCCCGTTGGAGTGGACTTACCATCTGGACAGCAACCATACTCGGACTTGGCACAGGTACTCTTCTTTGGCTTACACTTGCGGGGCTTGCCCGTTGTAACTTCAGACTCGAAGGAGTAAGGAGTGCTGGTCGAATCGTCATCTTTGTCGCTGGTGCTCCAGATATCGCTGGTAGTGCTGTCAAGATCTGTAGACTGAGAGCTTTCTGTCGATCCCTCTGTTGTGCTGTCGGTGGAAACCTCAGAGGTGCTGTCAGTAGATCCCTCAGTCGTGCTGTCAGTAGATCCCTCTGAAGTGCTCTCCTCGGTGGGACCACTTTCTGTGGTGTCACTGGTCTCTCCACTAGCAGTGCTTTCCGTAGATTCGGTAGCGTCTGTGGAGGAGGCCTCCGAGGAGGCGGTGGATTCAGATGCTTCTGTAGATCCAGAAACGTCAGTGGAAGATGAAGAATCGATGGTGGTGGAATCAGAGGTTGTGGAATTGGACTGGTCATCAACGGTACTTCCTTCAGTGGTTGAAGCGTCACTGGAGCCAGCCTCAGTGCTCTCGGTGGATCCGGATGAATCAGTAGACAATGTAGTGTCTGTAGCTTCAGAAGAGACTTCAGTAGAGCTATCCGTAGAGCCATCAGAAGACCCATCTGTAGAGGCATCAGTGGAACTATCGGATGAACCATCTGTGGATGCATCAGTAGACCCATCAGAAGTACCATCCGTAGAGGTTTCAGTAGAACCCTCAACAGTCGTAGCATCTGTCGTTGATGCATCGCTTGACAGTCCAGTGGATTCGGTGGCTTCCGAACTGGACGTAGAAGAGGAAGCCGAATTTTCAGTGGAACTTTCGGATGAAGACGATGCGTCGCTGGTTGAAGATGCGTCGGTGGTTGATGATGCATCCAAGGTTGAAGACTCTGTAGTATCAGTGGAAGACTCAGGAGTGCTTTCGGTTGTAACATCCGATGTGGATTCAGTAGAATCTGATGATTGTGTCGAGTCGGATGTGGCACTAGAAGTACTGTCCGAGGAACTCTCCGTTGAGCTGGATACGCCACTTGTAGTGCTATCGGTATTATCACTAGAATCTGACACGGATGAAGACGAAGCCTCTGTGGAAGATTCACTGACATCCGATGATTTGTCGGAGGAGTCAGTTGAGGCATCAGTCGAGCTAGAGCTTTCCGTAGAGCCACTTGGGGTAGAGTCTGAGGCATCAGTTGAGCTTGAAGAATCTGTGGAGCTAGTAACATCAGTTGAGTCCGATGAGGACGCGTCTGTCGATCTCGAAGCGTCAGATGAACCATCAGAGACCGCTGTGGATTCTGTAGAACTATCCGTAGAATCACTTGAATCGGACACAGAGGACGACGGGGCTTCAGAGGTCGCATCGCTTGAGCTTGAGCTTGAATCGCTAGAGGTAGAATCGCTAGAGGTGGAATCACTCGAGGTGAAATCACTAGAGGTGGTATCACTAGAGGTGGAATCACTGGGGCTCGAATCACTGGAGCTAGAGTCGGCTGCCGTTGAGCTGGACAGATCGGTGGAAGCATCGGAAGTGTCCTCGTCATCACCACTTCCTTCAGTGGAAATTCCACTGTCGGTAGTTGTGTCCGTCTCATCTCCCGATCCTTCAACTGTGGTAAGAGTAGAATCGTAGGTGGACGGGCTGTCGCTTTGCATTAGTTCCTCAGCCTCAGGTGTGGTTTCAGTCTTCGATGTATCATCGAAATCGATAATGTCAGCATTCTTGTCAAGTTCTGGCAAGTTGTCGCTGATCAATTCGATGCCCTCTTCATCGCACTCCTCCTCATCATCTTCGATTGGCTTATCGGTGTTTGTCAAGGGCAAAATCTCGTCTTCAGTGCAGGCTTCTGGATTGCATTTTTCGGAGAGAGATTCTACCTTGTCCTCGTCGCAGTTTACAGATTTGGTTCCATTGGCCAGGCAGAGGACCTCACGGACTCGCTCACCACCTCCACAAGGCTTACTGCACTTCCCCCAAGGTCCAGTGAACCATTCGCCAGGACATTCCTTTTCCTCGCCCTCGCAGTCCTGTTCAGCCTCTGGTTTTGATTTCTGATCGCACTGTGAGTCATCACTGGCTGGTGTCACCGTCTTGCCATCGAATACTCCGCAGATGACAATGCGAGATTGAACGCCCTTTCCGCATGGAGCGGAGCACTTGCTCCATTCCGAGGAGAACCACTGCGCCTGGCACTTGGGCGACTTGCATGGTCGAGATAGGGTGGGTACCTCCGGTTCGCAGAACTTCTCCGGATACACCTTACCCTCCTTGTTGCCACAGATGGCGGTTCTAGTCTCAGTGGTTTGACCACAGGCATTACACTGTTGAGTAAAGAATTTAAGGACTTAAGCATAAAGAACTAACCAACTTAATCAACAAAACATCTCACCCCGCTCCATTGGGAGATAATCCAATCAACGCCCTCGCAAGGCGCCAAAAGGCAGGTCTTCTCCACCTCCGGTTTCTCCTCCACGCAATCCTCTTCGGGCAGAACTCGCTTGCGTCCATTCTCCTCGATGAAGCAGGTTACCTTGCGCGTCTGCTTTCCCTCACCGCAGAGCTTATCGCATGGTGTCCACGGTCCCAGGTGGTATTTGGGGCAGTTCTTGACGTCGCGATTGCACTCCTGAACGGTGGCCGGTTTGTTACCAACCTCCTTCAGGCAAACTGCATCTTCTTCAACCGTATGCTCGCTAGTAAACAGATTTTGCACATATTATGATTAGCTCTCCGAAATAACAGATCTACTGCAAAACTTACCCTGACGACGAGATTCGCTCGCAGGTGACGGTCCTATTTTGGGTGCCGTCCGATCCGCAACCCTTGGAGCACTTGGACCATTCTCCCTCCACCCAGTGGGGAGCACAGGGCTCAGTTCCGCAGGCCTGCTCTTCGACGGGCTTGGACTTCTCGTCACACAGCTTAGGATTAACTTCCGCCAAAGTGATGCGGTTGTTGCAGGTCACCACTCGGCTCTGGGTGCCACCGCCGCAGGAAGCACTGCAGGGACTGAACTGGTGGTGCGTCCACGTGTGCGTGTCCTCCTGCGAGTGACTGAGCGACTCCGGGATGCTGTACTCGTAGTCGAGGCTGATGTTCCTCTCCTGCACCAACATCACGACGAAGATGCTCTCCGAAATGGGGCCGCTGCAGGTCAGTTGATCGGGGGCCGCGAAGCCCATTGGCTTGCGTTGGTAGTTCCACCACGAGTTGGCGAAGAACATGGGGCGCGGGAAGTCGATGCGCCAGTCGCCGTTCAGGTAGAAGTGACCGCTGTGGTTGCGGCAGGCCAGATAGTTGCTAGAGGGCTGCGTCTCCTCGACACGAATGTTGGTGGCGCCCTGCGGCAGGAGCAGCAGGTCGTTATAGCCGGGGGCCAGGTCCTTGGTGTTGATGGTGTTGCGGATGGTCTTGCAGGTGCTGCCATCGCCGCCGCACTTGCGGCACTTGTCCTCCTTGGCGTCGCTGCCCAGCATCATGTCGCAGCCCACGGGCATGCACTCCCCGTTCACGCAGACGTCGAGGTCCTTGTCGTTGCACCGGGTTCCGTCCACAACGGTCTCCCTCTGGCGGTAGTAGAACCGCTCGCCCTTGGGCATGCAGTTCAGCTCGCAGGGATTGGGCGCGTTCGTGTACGGCACCCACTCGTGCAGGACGCCGTCAAACTTCTGGTTGTCGAAGCGGGAGCACTGCTGCGCCCGGAAGTCCGGCTCCTCCTCCGGGCAGTCTTGAGTGTTGCAGGAGAAGTACCGACGACTGCCGCCGCTGCAAACTGCCTCGCCATAGTCACTGAGGGATATCGAGAGGGTCACAGTTTTCAACTTAAAATATTTGAAATATTATATACAGAACTATTCGCAAAATAAGTTAATTCTCATTTAACGAAATGATATTGATATAAGCTGGTGGTGATATATAGTTCTGTACTCACTCTCTGCGCAGACACTCGCGAGTCTGGTAGGAAACTCCTCCGCCGCAAGTCCGGGAACAATCCGAGGGCGTGCTCCACATGGACCACTCGTTGGGGTCGTCCCCCTCGCCACCGGGCGTCACCGAGCTCTCCGGCAAGTACATGTTCGCGCCATATTGTCTTTTTTGTCTTAGTCCCGGCTGTGAGTAGTTCAGCGGATTAGCTGTGGGACCTTACAAGATATCCTCAAAATACTTACGAATCTACTTTGGGAATCGTGGATGCCGGCCAGAACAATGAATGCTACCAAGGCAGTTGAGCTGCAAGAGGGAGAGCGGGAGGCAATTTAATTAAACGCCACCCAGACATAACCTCGCCCAACGCGGCCATTCATTAAAACCATGGGACCGCAGTCACGTGTTGACTTGTTGCACAGATATTTGTTGACTCTGCCTGTGGACACACGAGTGCCCAGACTCATTAGGGAAGCAACAGGCCGAGGTGGAGGAGGGACAAACTTCGGCCGGGACTTTCTCGAAGAGCCAGCCCAACTGCGTCCAGCGAAGGGGCACAAACAAACTTTTGTGGGGCTTCGCGGCGACAACATGATGAACTTGTTTATGCTCGCTGGCCAGAGCAAGCAAACATTGAACTTGTTTTTGCGGGCCAGTGCTGTGCAGTGGATACAATGCATTCGATGGAGAGGATGGGAATTCAAAGGGGGCGGGTTGAAAGAATGGGACTTGGTCAAGTTACATTTGCAATTTCTTCGGTAACAATTTCTTATTATGCGCCGCGCGCACGGACCATAAATATGCAATGCCACATAAACAAGACATAATTTAGCAGGGCTTCCTGCCGATTTGCCAAAACGAAAGAAGCGCAGAAGCAAGCAAATAATAAGTACCGCAGCCGGGGAGAATATACGATTATGCCGCAGACAATTCGACGCCGCGGAATCCCTGACTGCGACTCCTTAACTTTTGCAAGGAGGACGACGCCGTGGCCCGAGGACAAGTTGCGTGAATATGTCAAAGGCGTTCAATGTTGCAGGCACTGCGCTCGCCTGCTCGCCTGCTTGCCTCTCCGCTTGTTGGGGGCTTGCCAATTTAATTTCTGATGCTGCGTGCGGGGAGCCTTTCGGTTTGTTCCGCTTGGACGCCTCCGACTGATGGCGCTCGGCTTCTGCCTTCGAAGGACCTCCTTTTGGTCCTTGCCGCCGCAGCAGGCGTGCTGCTTATGACAGCCACAGAGAGCCGGAGGGCCGGGCGCCAAGTGCGGCCATAATTTTTATGCTTCTGTGTTGGCATTTTAATGCAATTTGAGCGCATTTCCCTTTTGAAACCAATGCCAGGACACCTATTGCTTTGGCAAGGACAGCGCAGCCGACAACCGACAACCGACAACGGCACACATTTCACAGTCCATTGAGCTGGCGTTCGGAGGGCAGGGGCGTCGCCCAGTCGCCCTGTCGCCCTATCGCCCAGTCGCCTCCTTCGGCATTGCGTCATGCAAACAGGACACCGCCCGAGTCCCGGGACCAGCTCCCAATTAATTGGGCAGTTCCAAGGAAACCGCTGAGGCGGCAAAAGCCGCAGAGTACTGCTTGATTTCGATTTCATACGCGACGTCTGCTGATTACGCAAAATCCTCGGACCAGATCACGACTAAGTGCGGATGTTGGGCTGGGGGAGCGACATTGTTATTGCCACATGCGGCGGATGCCACGTGACACCAGCACAAACAGTTGGCGCAGTCGTCAAATAAGTTACACATGTCATGCGGACCGCCGAAAGCCGCCACAGAAATGTCAAACAAAAGTCAGAGGAAATGCTAAATTCGGAGGAAAGTTTACAATAACACGGCCCCCAATCCCTGACCCCATTTGGCGTCGTGGCCCAGGATTTAGTCGATGTAGTTGGCTGGCAGGCGAGATCAAAGCCGCTGACTAAGGGGGCCAATTATCGGGTCGCGATGCCATTCTGGCCCGAAACAGTCCCACAATAGCCGCCCATTGTTCATTGTGCGCCGCATTACAAAGGCATTTGGGAGCCGCTCTAAGCGGTGATAATATTTTAAGGGGCAACTGCCATCGCAATCGCCGCATAGATGCAGTGAGAGCGCAGGGAAATGCTCCCTTTTCACATTTTAGCTCCGCAATTGCAGCCATTATCAGTCAACTTGAACAACTGCAGCGTGGATGCAAATCCAGGCCAGAGATACGCACTCTCTCCAGACCGAGTAGCTAAGAGATATTCACTCCGCATCCATGCCAGAGATATTCACGATCGTGTAATTGCTTTCAAATGCCTTCCACGCAACAAGTGCATTCTGTTGTACAATTTGTACACTTAAGAAACACAAATGGAGTTTTTAAAAAAAGGGGACACAAGTTAAATGAAAAATTTATTGCAGTCTCAGTATTTTACATGACTTTATCGTCAAAATATTATTCTAAACCTTGAATAAATAAGGGTAACAACAAGTGTTTCCTACATCCGCATTGGGTTTTTCCCACTGTGTAAGATGTTGCAATGACCATCGTAAATAAAGCGCCTGGTAATTAGCCGAAAGAACAACATTATCAACGGCACTTACTCCACAAGTGCGTGCACTTAGCCGCCAAACTCAAGACCGAAAACAAATTATGGCTCATTTCATGCCTGAAAAAAGGAATCCCAAGCTAAGCAAAAAGTATGTATGAGGCAAGTCCAAATCCAAACAATCTCTGCAGCAACACAAATAAATTCTGACCAGATTTCACACCTGAGCATTGAGCATTGAGACTGACGTTGGATTTGTTTACATGACTCATCCGCGAGGTCGAGTAACTAGAATCCCCCACTGCAAAGTCCGCCCACTTGTAGCGAGGAGCGATTCCTCCGGCCTTTCCCATGCCAATTGATCAAGGCGAGTTCCGCAGAGGAGCGCTCATCGAAAAGCGAGGCATGCAATATGGGAGCTGCCACCATGAGGATGCCGCATAGCTGCCTCCGCCACTCCCGCGGCCCTTTGATGAAGATGGAATGCCCATGGCCCCCGGTTCGCCAGCTGCAACCGTTTGACTTCTGCTGGCCCCTTTCGCTTTTTATGGTGATTGTGGAGAACGAACGAGAGGAATTCGCTGTTGCAGGCAGCCAACTGATTTAATTGCAGCCAACTGAAAGTGCGGATAAAGGCACCCCGCCTACACGGAAAAAAACGCAGGGCAGTATACACATCTCTTAAAGTAGACAAATGATTTAAGCTCATTTGTATCTGCAGCAGATCAATCCAGGCAGTGGGTCCTAATCAGCTTCGTTAGTGCGTTTTATTCGGCCGCAGAGTAGCAGGCAGCAATTACGCAACAGATCCACCTCATTAGTCGGAAGGATACGTGCAGATGTGTGACACCCGTTTGCTCAAATACAATTACATAGTCATACAATTATCGCAAGACAAACACAGACTAATGCAAAACGCCAAATTGTGGCTGAGGTGTGGCCAGGTAAATGTTCATGATGCTGCTGCTGCTGCCGAAGCTCCGGCGATGATGGCTCTATGAAGATGCGGGCTTGGAGGGCGGGTGCAGCGACGACATTTGTTGCAACGGAAGTAAATGTTTGCATTGTTGAAATTTTAATTGCATTTGCATAAAGCAAAGCACACTGGAGGGGAGCCCGGGACTGCTGCTCCGCACTCTGCACTCCACTCCAATGGCAATAGCAATGGCAATTCGCTCGGCAGCTGCCATTTTGACTGGCAGCCAAACACTTGCACAGCCCGGCCAAGCAATTATCAATTTCGAAATTAATTTAAGTTAATTGAGTAGTGAAAATAATAAACATACGCCTGTGCCCCGAGGTGTTTACGAAATGCAGACAGAGCAATGCAGGAGATTATGCAACATTCTACCACGTTCCTTCCTTCCTTCGCTTTCCTACAAACCTACAAAGTTGCAGCAGCAGAGTTTTCGGGGCCAAGAGGCGCAACAAAGTTTGCTCAAAATGCCTAATGAAATATTTGCCACCCGTTTGACCAAATGAGCAGAGCAAATGAGCAAACACAATGCACACTTGAGCTTGCAGTCTCAAACTGGGAGAAACTGGAAGAAACTGGGAGATAGAGGGCAAGAAAGGGAAAGAGTTTCGCTGTGCGTTTCACTTTGGCAACTTACTGACCCATAAATTTCACTCGCTGTCAACGGCGGCAGCCAAACGTTCGACTTGTAAACAAATTTTTATGGCCCATGTTGCACCAGCCACTTGGAGCCGCTGCCACAAGAGCATCAACAGTGCAGCACAGCTAATTAGAGGCATCATAATGCCGCCGCCGCGACTTCCCATCCTCGAGAAGACCCCCGCCCAAACATTGGCAATTTTCTATTTGCCCAACTCATTCGGTTCGAGATTGCAACAAGCTGCTTGACTTCACTTATGGCTAATAGCTCTCGAAGAAGGGGGGCGGAGGCAAACGGGTTTGGGCCTGGCAACATCTACTTTTGCACCCTTTCGAACTTTGCCCTCTGCCGGTGGGGGACTATTAAACAGGCCTCTGTGTAAACATTTTAGCGCCGGCTTGTGATAAAAAAAAAATTGAGAAAAACTGCTCACAGGATGCCAAATGAGCTGGCATATTTCAGCACTTAATTAGCGTCGAACTAGTAAAGGGGTAAAAAAACAGAAGAGTAAATAAAGCCTGCCGAATTATTCAACAAACGAAAACTATTTTGGGAATGCTTCTTTTTATAGAAATTGAGTTGTGATAGTTTCGCCCAGCGAACTCAGCAGCAGAATTGAAATACATAATTTCAAACAAAAAGCAGCGAGTAATTAAATTCCTCATTACTTATGCTCAAAAGAAATATCTGACTTAATTTCAACAACCTGTTCTCGGAACGCCGCTGATGTTCCAATCTAAAATAAACAATGACCAACTCTAATTCCTGACGCACATGAATTTCAGTTATTTATAATAGCCTTCACACGAAATGGTAACCCGGGCAATTGGGTTAAATGCTATCATGTCAGCAAGTACCTGACGGATAAAATGTGGAGCAGACATTGATTTATAGCGCAATTACGGGTTCATTCGATTGTTTCACTTGTCAGCTCTTCCAGTAGCCAGCAGAGGTAAAGACCTCTCACAGATTCCCGCTGCCAGTCGGGCAAAACAGGCAATCGGAAGTCGAAAAGGGCTGCGTCCCTGACCCTCGAAGGGCCACCAGTTTGGCCTGCTGCACTCGGCTCAGTTCATTGGCTGTCATCGAGATGCGCATCACGTTCTCGAGAACACCCCGGCAAACCGATCGTCGCCTGTCGTCCGCCAAAACATTTTTATGGGTTTAAATTTTCTGTTTTTTTTTTGGTCTTCTGCCTGGCGGCGAATATTTCACTTGTTGCTTTCTGCCTTTCTGGTTTTCGTCAGTCGGTGGCTCCCCGGATTCGGCAGAACTTTTTAGGCACATTTTACTGCATGTGACGCATCGTTTGCCTTCGCCTCCTGTTGGATCTGCACAATTTTTGGATATTTTTGCAGTCATGCCATGGCTGTTTCTGTATTTTGTGTGTTATGTATCTTGTTCAGCCTCTGCAATTTCTGCGGCGGCACATTTTGGGGCATCCTTTTTATCTTCCGCGTTGCAGGGTGCGACGACCCCGTCTGCGGCTGATCGATCCGGTTGTGTGTGTGCTCCTATCTGTGTGCCCCAACGGGGCAGGCATTAACAATAGCGCCCGAGATATTCGTCACTCTCACATTTGATTTGGCTCCGGACTAGGGCATTATTAATCGCCGCCTGTCGGCGTTCTTTGTTAATTAGGCATAAGACATTAAGTCATGGGAAAGCGATGTGCAGATCGCCCGAGATCGGCTGTCGCGAAACCATTAACCATTAACCATGCCATCTTCCAGCGGGGGAAGCCATCCATGGGGGGTCGATGGGGTCCGCAATCTGCGATCTCCGCAGCACATGTGGCAAATGCAGCGTGCAACATCGCCGCCATGAACTTGGGAGGTAATTGAGGCATGGAATGAGCTGCCGCGCAGGACTGCTGCAAGTGCAACAACAAGGGGGGCGTTTGTCCAACGGCACTGAACATAATTTGCAGCTCATTTGCCGCATCATTCGATATTCCGCAGAATTCCAGCTCCATCCCAGCACACATGCCATTTCCGGGCGGGGTTTTTCCCCCCTGCCAAAAAGTACAGAGTCTTCAGATTCCGCACACTCTCGGCTAAAAAGCAGCCACTTCGCTAGATCAACATTTAAAATTCTGATTTATTTATAGCTACTAAGGATCAATTATGCAATTCGAGTGTTTACTTTCGAGTCGTGTGTGCATGAGTTTTCACAAGATACGCGGTTGGTTTCTCAGTTTCAAGGCAACCGGCTCTAGGTTTTTCGTTTTCAAAAGCATAAATTTGGAAAATTTACTGTTTATAGTGCGGCTCGCACAGATCACACTCAATAAACAATTTGGCCCAGCAACTATGTGTGGGCAATTAGACGATGTTCGTGTTATTCTTGTTGCATTCGTTTTCCTGCTGCCGGTCAGAATTTAGTGGTTTCCGCGGAATATTATAGTTAAAACATAACAAACAAAGAGGTCCAAGTGTGGGTAAAATGTACAAGCATAGGTAAGTCTTGTATTTAGATTGGGAATTCTCATTGAGTACACAAGACCACATTCTAATTCCCCAGAAAGACAAGCGGGCGGTTCGAATTCTTCTCGGAGGGAAGACACGATCTCCAAATCTCCAACAGCGTCAACTAGAGTCAAGTTCAAAGACGTCACGAGTCACAAATTTTCGCTTAATGTAATGTGAATTTTGGCCACTTAATGACCACACACAGGCGGCTCATCTGGCGAGATGCGGCCTACAAGATACTCGGTTACTGATTTACCGAGTGCGTTAAAACGTTTAGTTTGTGCCATTAAACTACAGACATTATGATGGTCGTACGTATCTCCAGCGGAGTGTTGACCCGTTCGGGCCAGAAAATTATCGGGGTTTTGTGCCAGTCGTCCGACCGAATACCCTACCCAGGAATTTCGCCTTCAAGATGATTTTCAAGCGATGTATTTCCGAACCATTGTCTCAAGAACTTTTCCATTAAATCAACTAAACAACATCGGAATATTGTGCTGAGAAAAACTATGATTTCCGGCTAATTCTGATTAGCTCGATAGATACCAGGCACATATGTCCCCAAACTCTGGCAAACACGGGTCATGTGTTGGCCACATTTTTATGGCAGTGCGACAGAACAATGCCGAACCATAGATTTCCCTCCCGTTGACAGAGAGAGATTTTCGCTTTCAAGTGGCTAACGCACAATTTTCGCGAAAAACTTTAAAAAACTTGACGAATGAATGCGCTAACTGCCAGTTGGCCGAGGAACAAGTTTCTTGCCTTTTATGTGTCGGTGTTGGGCTTTATGACTTTGGCCAAAAATAAAACGCACGCAACGCTTGTGGTCAGCGCTTGTGGTAAGAAGACGACGACACAGGCAAGCAAGAACAGCCTCGGATGGAGATTATGGCCAAGATATGTCCAGCATGTGCGTGAGAGCAACTGGCCCGTCGAGATTTCAACTTTGAACCGGCCTCCGAACCTCCTCCGAAGCTCCGCAAATATCTCCTAGCCTGTCCGAACATCTTACTTCATTTTCTCTACATACCTACAGCTTTTTTTTTTGGAAAAGGGCACTTCAAAGCGCACGCACTTCACCTACACTGGGCATCCAATCCAAACGCAACTCTTTGGGATAAATATTTACATTTCGATTCGAAAATTTGATTTGGTTTCTTTTTTGTGGAATGGCACACACATTTGGGGAGCCAACAAAACCCGTGTCGATAGAGTGCAGGTGAGGTAATGGCACAATTTCTGGGGCAGTGGGTGGAGAACCACCGATCTGTTGGCTGTTTGAAGTAGTCGTGCTGCCGGAAACTGAGATGTTAAAAGGGAAATCAATTACGGTTGAACTTAGGCAGACTGAAATTGGCCAATTTATAAGGGGTATTTGCTGGCCCATTATATTCCAGTTAATCGGTTAATTTTATTTATTTGATTCCGTGCTAGAGATCCCAGCATAATAGCCATAACTTTTCATACAAGTTTCGAGCTTAATTGCTAATGGATTCATTTTTGCCAGGACGCAGGGCAACAGCAACAGCAGCAATCACAGCGCACACAAAAACACATTACGAAAGCTTGGGAAGTGCTTTGAAAAATGCTGCAATTTTCATTAACAAACTTCAATTAAGTTGGCAATGTAATTTGGCATGCAAACAAAATGCTGGCCAGGATAATGGCAGTCGCGCAGTGTCAACATCGCATCGCCTGTTGCGCACTGAGCACGTAGCCAGGATGCGAGCACATCCTCCACCTCCGCATCCGCACATGTGGAAGGACAATCGGAAGGACGAAGAGGAGCAGTAGCAGGAGCAGCAGGAGCTGGAGCTGCCAGCCGGGAGCCCCGTGTCAAGTGTTTGCGCATGTAGTTCAAACGGAATTAAAATTCCAATTGACACAGTAATTTGCTAGCAACACAAAGGGAATCAATTTCAGGGACTGCAGAGCTACTACATCTGTCGCGTTCGGGTGGCTGGATAGATGGCTGGATGGATGGATACATGTTTGTCGGATGCTTACCACAACCGCCTCGATAAATCCATTTTGCAGGCTCCTTGCTGAGGACCCCGCACAATAATCGTCGCCTCTCACTTCGCGGCAGCCACTCGAATATTTCGTGTGTATCGTTTCGTATCGCACCGCCTTGTCCCTGTTGAGTGGCCAACACTCGAACGAACCAACGACAGCACTTGAGTTTTAATTATCTGGCACTATGGCACTCTGTTGTCACTTTAAAATCAGATTCTATTCGGCACTTTGCGCCTGCGCATTGCCGCAGGACATAACCACTCGCGTATTATCCTGGAAGTCGAACTCTCCGTCTCGATCGACACACATCCGAAGGGTAAGACCGCACGCCAGCAACTGATCGAGTGGGTCGTTCGCGATCGCTCTAATTCTGTGGGACTGCCGGCAGCAGCATAAGCAGAGCAGCGGAGCAGCAGCGACGGCGGCGAACCCGATATCGAGGCATTCAGACTATATAGTTTTAGCTTCGCAGTGATAGCGCCACAAAGGACGGCTTCCGCCCCTCCTAATCTCGCACTCCCGAATTGAATGGGCTTCTAGAATGGATTGTTCCCAACTGCTGTACTATATACGAGTATTAAATGCAAACTTTATGTGTCGCTGAAGATCAGAGATCCTTTGCCAACCGGCCCCCACTAGAGACTGAAGTCGAGTGCGGCTTTTTCGCAGTCTTTCTGCTGTCTTCGCAACTGCAACTGGTTCTCACTGATCTTTATGCGTTGCACGTGTGTGAGGAGCGTTGCGAACCCATCCCATCCCATCCGATCCGATCCGATCGGATCCGAAACGAAACGATCCGAAGTTGCAAAGTGATTTACTGGCCCTGCCCTCCACATGCGCTCGCAACGCACTCGCCTCGCTGTCAAGATCAACCGGCGGTGCTAATGAGCCGCCGTGGCCAACACATGTCGACGTCCTTTCGGTAATGATCCTGGCTTGCCCCAGCCCCCAAATGCATCTCAATTTCGCTCTAATTGCTGGCTGGCACATGTGCTATGTGTTGTTTACTTTGATTTTTCGCCCGTTTCACAGACAAATTTAGGCATCCGTTCTGCTGTGGGATCAATTGCAGTCTGGCATTGCACGAGCGTTTCATTGCTGCTGCATATCAGCTCGCCCAAGCATCGATTTCACGAAATTCGAACATTTCATTCATGAATTTCACCCATCCACAAAAAGTCAGAGTCTGAACGATGATTTCCGCATTCCTAACATGTTGCGCTCTAATATAAACTCTATAAATAGTTTCCATCCAATGGTCAATCTCGACCGGAACTCTTATGTTTGCCAAAAACTAGGCCTAGCGAGCTCGTGGTTCTTATTTTTATAAAGCTCGATCGATAAGAGAAAACCGCATGGTGACTAAAAAAAATTCTTTGAGCTTCATTTACATGATTCATTCATAATCGGATTTCTCAAGAGAATTTTCCAAAATTTGATTTTGATTTGAAAAAGGTTCTTTGAAATATTTTGAGCTTAGTTTCAATGATTCATAAATCGGTATTTTGGACAAATGTTTTGGTACCCGAAACTTTATATCAACCGCAGGCTGTTTCCGTTAAAAAAAAACACTATCAGCTCTCGGATAGTGTTTGAGAAAGCGTTATATAAGCCAGATCCCTACCATATGCCCATTTTTACACTCTGCCTTATCGGCACTCTTGACCAGGGAAAGTCGCCTTCGGTTAGCTAATAAGTCGCAGAAATAAATTCTTCTCGTTTCAAGGCGAGCCCGAGATAGGCGCTATATGGAACGCACTTGATATTATAAATATTTGCAAACTTGTGTTCTATATGCTGGGGGGCTTGATACAAAAAAGCTCCCATTCATGAATGTAGGAGCAAGCTCTAATTGGACTCCGCGGCGGAAGCCTCTTATCAGGAACTGTCGATATGGGGCTACGGACACTGCCTTGGGTTGGGTGAATTCCAATTAGCCTAGCGATGACCCATTTAGAGCAGCTTCCGTCTCTCGGACAGGGGCGCTTCTGCAGCAGCCGCTCCCGATCGCTCGTTATCGCCGCCCAGTTCCGCTGGCAGAGACTATCGGTATCCTAAACGCCTAAGCATGTGGGTGAAGGGTGGCTGCGCGGCAGTGGGATCAACAGGAAGTCCGATAGGGGATTGTTTTATATAAACAGTATATAATAGAAAACCACAGATTACAAGCGCGATAACAGGGATGAGTTTGTTGCTCGTACAACTAGAAACCTGGATCCCAGTCCGTTTGCTGCGCCTCCATGTTCGTGGTGTAGCATTGCAGAATGTCTCCGGCTTCTGGCATCACCTTAGTGTCTTTGAAGCGCAACCCACACTCTACGTCCTTCTTGATGGTGTCCACCTCGTTCTTCAGGTGGCGCATGGACTCCAGAGGTCCATTGTAGACCACTTCGCCATCGCGCAGCAGGCGGAACTTCTGGGCCTTCTTTAGAACTCCCTTGGTGCACCGACAACCGGCGACGGGAACTTCCTTGCGACCCTCGTTGATGAGGAAGTTCTGCAAGACATTGGCCTCGCCCAAGATCTCCTCCACCTCCACCGGCGGCAACTTGCTGCTCAGTTGCTCCTTCAGGTCGTCGATAAGCCGGTAGATGATATTGTAGCTGCGGATGTTCACCTCCTTGGCGGCCTTAATTTGCGGTGTCTCCACTGCGAAGGCGTATATGATGGCATCGAAGGCCTTGGCCAACTCTAGGTCGCCCTCAGTCACGTTTCCCACACCGTAGTGCACGATGTCCAGGCGACAGCTGTCGTTGCTACTGTACGTCTCCAATACGTCCAGTATCGCCTCCACGGAGCCGTGAACATCGCCCTTGATGATGACACTGACCCGCGGCTTGCCGTCATTTTCGTCAACTTGCTTGACCCTTTGGCCGCCGCGCATGCGGAAGCGACCTGCCAGTCGTCGAGCCTCCCGTTCCGCGCGGTACTTAGCTTGGTGTTCCTCCTCCTTTTTGCGGATCTCATCACTGCTAGACTCGATCTTCTCCTGCTGCGCCGAGTGCTCGCGGTACTTGAGAACGGCGTGAGCTTTTTTCTAAGAGAAAAAAGTGTGTTATTTGGCTGAATATGAAAAAATCTTATTTGTAATCACCTCTGTTTCCACCTCCAGTATGAGATCGCCAGCGAGCGGCAGTTCCCGCCATCCCAGAATTTCCACAGGCGTGCCTGGTGGAGCCTCGCTCAAGGGCTGGCCATTGTGATCGAATAGGCCTCGCACCTTGGCGTGCGCCAGGCCACTCAGCAGCACTGAACCTTTGCGCAGCGTGCCTCGCGAGACGATGGCTGTGGAGAGCTTGCCTCGTCGGGGGTCGGTCTTTGACTCCACCACAATGCCTTCAACCAGACCGGTGGGATCCGATTTGAGGCCCATCAGCGTGGCCTGCGTGCTCACCGCTTCAGCTAAAAGTTGCAGGTTGGTGCCCTTGAGAGCGGAGATCGGTATCACCTGGACATCGCCGCCATGCTCCTCGAGGGCAAGTCCCATTTGCGCCAGCTCTCGTTTGCTCTTCTCCTAAAAGGGGATTGTTAATTATGTTCTTCAAGGGAGCTACCCTTGGAACTCACAATATTGGCCTCTGGCTTATCGATCTTGTTGAGGGCCACGATAATAGGAACCTGAGCCTCCTTGGCCAGCTGGATGACCTCGCGTGTCTGCGCCATAACCCCATCCTCAGCGGCCACCACGAGGACAATGATATCAGTGGCCACAGCTCCTCGAGCTCTCATCGCGCTAAAGGCAGCGTGTCCAGGTGTGTCGAGAAAAGTCACCCGTTCGCCGTTTTCTAGGGTGACGGTGAAGGCGCCTATGTGCTGGGTAATCCCACCGGCCTCGCCGGCTGCCACATCTGCTCCTCGCACGGAGTCCAGTAGAGTGGTCTTGCCATGATCCACGTGGCCCATTACAGTGACCACAGGTGGACGTGGCTGCAGAAGCTCCGGAGGAGCAGGAGGTCTGGGTGCCACATCGCGCTCTTTTTGATCATCTTCGTTGCTAACTTCAGGTGTGGCCACCACCCGGGTTTTGGCACCTAGTTTCTTGGCTATTTCCTGGATTACCTTAAGATCTGCGAGCTTGGCAGCGGGCTCAATGTTGTCGGCGCCCTTCACATACAGCATGGCTTCTTGGACATCATCTATAAGATTTAATATTACAAATTTAATGGAGAAACTCCTGCATATCGAGTACTTACCCAGTGGCCTTTCCAGTTCCTTGGCCAATTGAGCCACGCTCATGTGCCTCCAGATATCCGAGGCTCCTCCTCCTGCTAATTGTGCCTTCTTAGGAGAGTACTCTATAATTCTGGGGGATTTCTAAATCAATTAGTGAGTGTGTCCTCTCGGTTTTAAAAGTTCACCGGCTTTTCCCGGCTTACAGTTTTAAGTGTATTGATGCTCAATGGCTTTAAAACCTACCTTCTCCTCGGCTGTTTTTCGGCGTTTCATGCGTGCGGCATTTACATGGAACGACACTCTACTGGATTGCAGGGTATTGGCCAGTCTACTTATACTGACGATTCGAAGCATTTTATGCGGCTTGATTACTACTTTTAATTGACTTTAACTTAAGTTATACAAATCGCGTAACCGCTGCAGCTGTTTAGGTGTCGAAAATATATCAAAATATCGATATATCGATGATATTTAAAAAAAATTGTTTCTGTATTTTTTGTCTGAATTATTACATATCTTCAAACGAGTAAACAGAGAATTTTGTGCTCCCAAACAACAAAACAAAGGACAATGTTTCCCAAGCAATTAAATGTACGACAACCATACTTTTGTATCAGGGATGGACAGTCAAACACCTGTTTGGCGGAGTTCACACTTAATGTAGGCTACATAGATGGCGTATTGCTGGTGATGTAGAATATGATGTAGAATTGGTTCACTGCGAAATTTGTTATAAAAGTTTGATGCATAGTTTAAGATTATGAAATTACCAACTTTTTAGAAGGGAACCATTTCGAAGCTGGTCATGCATAGCAAAACTTCAATACCATTAAAAATTGATCTTATAAATTAATTTAGGTGTCGCCTCCTTCTGTTTCCTTGAACCAAGCTCTAATAGAAACTTCACCACCAGGTGGCGTTAACTTACTTACAAAATGTAGTAATAATTTATATACATACGTAGATTACAAATCATTCTCCAAAAAAAAAAACCCACCAATTAAAAAATGCACCAATAGGTATGGAAATCTATATTCAATTACCGACCCTCGTTCTAAACCCCCTTTTTTCTTATGCTAGATCCTTCAGATGCTGCTTAGGAGTATAAGTATCTCATATATGACATTAAAGACAAATATTAAGTCCTCGGTAAGCTTAGGGCCCATTAAGTATTATTAATATTATATTAATAATCCCCTTAACTTTGTGTCCGCATCCTTTAAATTGGCCTTCTCAGTGGCTGCGTGAGCGTCAATCACTGCCATCGGGGCTCCGAACTCAAACCGCCAACTAGTTCGGGAGATAGGGATTCCGGCTCTCGAGCCCTTCTCGTGACTGACGCTGAATGCCACTTAATTCGGTTTTGAAGCGAGTTGCATGTCAAAATGATTGCTCTTCTGCAAACAGCGCATCTGTGTTTGAATTATGATGGAGCGCGCAAATATTCCAGATGCAAATATTTGCGCAAAACTACACACACGCATAGTCGGCAGTGACTTGAAGTGCATGGGGCTGCTGGCCAGGAGCTACGGCTACGGCTACAGTTACGGCTACGGCTACATATACGGAGAGGACCCTACAGGACTCGGAACTCTGGACTACTAATGGCAGAGCGTGCTACGTCGGCAGCGCCGAAGCACTTTTGAAAATGTGTAACCGGCACTGACTGACTTTCGCCAGCTGAGGACTCGATCCGGAATCGTTTGGCCGGAGCCAACATTTGCTGGTGGTGGTGGCGCTGGTGGTGGTGCTTCTGCCGCTGCTGCTGCGTTGCTGTTGCAGACATCCGCTGCCGGAAATACGCTTACAAGCGCAACCAGCACGTACAACGCGCTCCTTCCTACAGGGTGTCCTTTCCAGGACGAGTTCCTTCTAGGGGGTGGTTGGGAGGCACCTCCTCGTTGCTCGTCCTTCGCCCTTCGTCCCCGTCCATTGTCTGTTTACTTTGCAGCGCAAGAAGACGGCAGCGACGCAAAGAACTCAAACAAAATATAACTGTTGGAAGAAGCTGATGCAACGGCTCGGCGGAGGGAGCGAGGAGCGGGCAGCGGGCACAGAAAAAGTTTACAATTTATCTAGTAAAATGTAATTAGGATCCTGGGTGCAGGCGCCTCCGCACAGAGCCCATCCTTCCGTCAGGATTTAAGTGCGTGAAACTTTCGTTATGCCGGGCTTAAAGTTAAAGCTTGGGGGGTTTTAAGCTGTCTAAAGGAACATGGAGGTACAGAATTCATATTCTTGAAATATATAAAGAAAATATAAGTAATACGCCTTACTAATTCGTGGATACTAGGTAGAACATCACTTCTTTTATTTTTAGATCGTTTTGGACTTTCATTCCCCAAAAGATAAGTGATTAGCTGTTGGCAAAGAATAGTTGGCCACCTCGCCCAGCTAATCCATTTCGCATTAGAGCTGCACTAACCGACGTGTTTGCGCTGGTCGCATCTTAATTTTGCCGCCACAGCCGTACAAATCCGGTTATTTGCTGAGAAATTGATTTTTGTTAATTTCTCCACGACGAAAATGGCGCGCCTTTGCGAGGGGAGTTCTGTGGGTTTGCCCACCAACTTGCCGTGCTGCAATGGCAACTTTTCGGGCGGACTGCGCATAAGACATGCGCAAGAGCGACGGAGATACAGATACTCACGGGTGCACAGATACGCAGATACAGATACACACGCACGGATGCGGGCACAGATACAAGAGAGCGCTCACACACACATTTAAGTCGACGAGGCGGAGCAAAGTAAACAAACATGGCCGAAAATGTTTGTTGCTCATAATCCGATACAAGTGCAAATGCCAGCACACACACACACACACACACTCTTATTTGCTAAAAAGCATCGGAGTTTCCAACTGGCTAAGAAAGCACACATCATCTCATCTCGAGATGTGCGAACTTTTCGGCCAGGTGTTAATCACAGAAGCCATGTAATCGGCTTCAATAATTCAGCTGCTCGATCTTGGGCAATCGCAGAGGGGCTAAGTGCTTACTCAGGCGTTGCCAAATGATTCTCTCGAATTCGGCAGCAAATGGAATACAATTGGAAGCGAAAACAATCCGTTTCGCAATTTACTTAGCGCTGGAACTCATTTCGGATTAATCTGTAGATTAAACAAAGAGAGGATTCATTTTGCGTTTCCTAGGAAAACATTACCATTACTTATTATCGAAGCCAACAACAACCACCAATTTAATTTTGACTTTAATATGTAAGTAGTATATTTATATGTAAGTAAGTAAGTGAAGCTGAAAGACAATTATTTAATTCAGAAGTACAGCTCTTATCAGCTATGAAATTGAAGTCCATTTATCAAGCTATCATCAGTTCCTTTTCCGCTTGTTTACCTCGTTTGAAATTGATTTGAAGTCGGGACTTCAAGTGCCGAAAGTGCCAATCATTGCCCATTTATGAGCACTTCAAGTGAAATGGAATTTTTCGAAGCTCCTTTTTAATTGAAGAACATTGCAGCTAATTAGTTGAGGCGTTGAGGCCCCCCAAAGGGGGAATCTCCGATGAGGTGGCCTACCGAATCGACCCCGGCATATTTGAGCACTCGAGAGGGCCAAAACTTTTGGGACATCGCCGCACTTCAAAGCTGCGACCGGCCACTTGAGGGGGAAAAGTGTCTCCCGAGTTGCGAGCACTTGAGTGCACCTACCACAGCGTCGGCATCTCGGCTTTTTAGGGTTAAGCGGGGTCCTCCTCTCGATCGGCTGGGTTTTTTCTCCGTTCCTCGGTTTTTTGCCAGCCAACAGGTAATCATCGACGCAATGGCGGCTTTCAAATATAAGCAAAATATTGACAGAGCGGCAAACTCCAAGGCGAAAAGGCCCCGACATCAATTTCTGGCCATATACCCGCATACTATATATGCATATGCGATCCGTCGCGATATGACGTTGCCGATTCATCGGGCCAGGTATCGGGTGTACCTGCCTATAGCTACAGGTAATACGAGCACTCCGTCCGTTCGTTCGGTTTCACTGTTTACACACATTAGAGCCCAACATCCGTTGTAGCCGTTGTCGACTGTCGCATTCAAATGTTGTTTTTAGCCATTGAAGTGGTAAATTTCACCTGTGTGCGAGGTGGAACCTCGATGGCAGCGGCGGCGGCCCATAGACACGGCCACTTACAACAAATGCATTTTGGCCGGGGCGGCGGTCCGGCCTTTGATAGTGGACCACACACCGACTCTCTCATAAATGCGGCGACACTTGAGTTGATTGATTTCGAGATGCAAGCATCCGCGGGATGCAAAAAAAAAAAGAAAACGAAGGAGTGGAGTGGAGTGGAGTGGAGGGAAACATCCCAAAGGGAGGGAGGCTCGAAAATATTCCACTCTGGTGGTCCTCCTCCCAGAGCCGAGTTTGTATATCCTTCTATAACAGGGGTATATACTACTGAATTATATATTACTATAGTACGGCATTAAAGTATAGTATAGTAGCACAACATAAATAATAATGATTCCCATATCCACTTTTACAAAACAGAATTTAAAAGAATTGTATTGGTCTGTTTCTGTAGTAACTAGTATATCCTTTAATACCGGGTATCTTAAAGTCGTGGCCACTCAAGTTTGGCATTCCTTCTTGTTGTCGTTGTCATCAAGAGATCGCCATGGCTGTTAATTTGCTGGAGGAAGTTTCCATTTAGCACTTGGGCAAACAGTCTCTGGTTTCTGCAGTTGTCACCAGGCACAAGCACATTCCTGCTGCCAAAGTCCGGCCGGGTTCGCCATAAATACAAAATATCAAAAATATTATCGCCGGGGGTGGCAGAGCCTCATTGTTGCTTCTGTTTGCGGTTTGCTGCTGCTGCTGCTACTGCTGCTGTTGCCGCTGCTTCAAGTGCCATTGAGCTAAATTGTTTGTATGTCAATCAAAGATGAAAACGCGCAACGGAAAATGCGAAAATTAAACAGAGGGCGGTGGGTGGTTTCGGGTGGGCTTCGACGGCTCAACGTGGGTCATGCCACTTAAAGTTCATTGAGGTGACGCTTGTGGTTGGCGAAAAGGGGAACACAGGGCAGAATAATGCGGCACTACAACAAATTACTTTGCTACACGAAAATGTCAAAGTACACTCGCCGGTTTTTAGGTTACTTGGTGGGTTGTTGTGAAGGGGTGGCATAAACATAAGGCAGAATAATAAAGCAATAACAAAGGCAGCGAGCGTTACATGCGGCGGTAGTAACAATAACAACAGCGACCACACTTAATCAACCGGAGGCTGCTTGAAAACCTCTTTATCCCCGCACCAATAATGTTTTAACAAAATATTGATTTACTCGACTGGTTCTGCACAAAGGAGTGTGTGGCAGAGCGATTTAAAAACATGATTTTTATTCTGTTTACTGAAGATGTTTATGTTGAAGAACATCAGAATAAACTAGATAGTGAATGTGTTTACTTTTACATCGAAAAACAGGGAAAGCATTCAAGAATTATTTTCCAAGTTAAAGGTCTTTGTAGTCAAAATAATTGTTCCAAATTTCCCAAGTTTTGAGTTATCCAAATGTTCGTATGTTCACTTCGCACCAA